TAAAAAAAAAAAAAAAGACTCAGCCATGAGATGGTCCTCTAGTGCACTAACCAGGGAAGGTAACAGGCCTTCCACCCTCACCAGGAATGATGACCTAGGGGCAGAATTTTTTTTTTTTGGGAGAGGTTTTTGCTATAGGCAGGTGCGCTCGCCAGAAAGACAGAGAGACAGAGAGACAGAAAGCGAGAAATCACCCCCCAGGGGGGATGGCCACGCCGCAATCCCTTCTCCTTCATTCTCCTCTCGGGATCTTGGGCACGTACACACACGTGCCCGGGGTGAGTTTTAAGCCACCGGGTCCAGGACGCGAACCGCAGTCAACTACGTGGTAGTCCAGGGACATAGCCGTTATGCTAACTGCTGGTCCCCTAGGGGCAGACTTTTGATCATTCCATGCAGGTAGATATTTCTAGTTAACAGGCCTTTCTATGCTCTTGAGAAATTTTATTGGGGCCAGCAGGTGGCATGGTGGTTAAGGCACTAGACCTGACATGGCCGACTGTGGTTTGAGTCGCAGACCTGGTGGGTTGCTTTCTTATTTTCTCACTCTTTCTCTCGAGCACACATGCTCTGTAGCAATACTAATACTAATAATGATAATGATAAATAAAATTAAATAAATAATTGTTTTTATAAAAAAAGAAATAAATCATATCATACAATAGGCTGGCTCCATAATCCAGAGGTTAAGTGCTGCACAGAGAAAGCTGGTTCCCACCTGGCTAGTCAGGGTTTGAGTCTCTGCCGCAGTGGCTTGAAAAGTACCCTGGCCCATACACCTGTGCCCAGGATCCTGATGAGATGGAGATTGGAAGGAAAAAATTGCTGCATGACCATGCTCCATGAGGAGGGGAGTGTGCGCTCTCTCTCTCTCTCTCTCTTGCACATGCACACAACACACACTCTCGGGCACACACACACACACACACACACAAATCACACTATAAAGGCACTGTCCCCTAAAGGATGTCCTGTGCCTGCCAGAGGTGTGACCTACTTACTGACACTAACTCTCTTCTTAGAAGTCGATGTGCTCATTCACAAATTTTCCTCCTTCTTGAATCTCAAAGACCTGAGGAAATTCCTTACAAAGTCATGGGTTACATGCCACCTAATGTCAAGTCAGTGCAGATATATAAAAATAAAAATACTTTTATGAGTAATGGCATTTCTTTCCCCAAAGAAGACATCCCAGCTGTCTAAACTTTGTTGTCATTCAGCGGAGGTGAGGTCATAACTAAAGCCCCAGCAGGTGGGATTACTTAGGGTGACCATTGCCCCCTAGTGCCATAGCAATCACATATTTTGTTTTTCCTCTCCCCTACCCTGTGGGTTATAGGTTCTATTAGTCCTCGATGTGACAGCTCTGGACGGTGCAGCTGTAAGCCGGGTGTGACAGGAGACAGGTGTGACCGATGTTTGCCAGGCTTCCACACACTCACAGATTCGGGGTGCACCCAAGACCAGAGACTGCCGTGAGTATCTGCGTCCCACCGTGGCTGTCACTAGTACAAATATAGACTGTTATCTGGACATCAGCAAGTGCGCGTGCTGAGTGAGCACCGACCCTCACCACACGCTGTTTTCAGTACTTCTAGTGGGTAGGCAGATGTAATCCTCACAACAGCCCTAAGAGGTTGAGATGGTTAGTTTGTTCATTTTAAAGATAAGAAAGTTAACCCATCAGAGGTTAAGTTGTCCGTGTTACTGGTGAGGGTGGGCCTGATATTCAAGCTGAAAGGTTTGGTCTTGGAACCCACATCTTCACCCCGACAGTTAACTCTTAACCTTTAGATGAACTGGGATGGAGGTGCAGAGTCCTCCAGATTCCAACCGAGGACCCATTCGACTCTCGGGAATCAGGGGTAGAACTTTCTCTGCATAATTTTGATCACCTTTAATTTGGAACAACCTTGTCTTTCAAATTCTTTTCTGGAAGAAGATGGAATAGGTATTATGAGTCACTTAACCAATATGCAGATGTGCAGAGCTGGCAAGGTGTTGGGTGGCTCAGAGAAACTGGGTTGGGAACCTTGGCAGTGAAGCCACAGTGAAGCCTGCAGATCAAAATGGCTTGCCCTTGGGGTCAGCAGGTGGCATAGTGGTTGAGGTGCTGGACTCCTCCCACATGATTAATTGCAGTTCAAGTCCTAGACTCAGTGACTTGAAACTCATGCTGGGTATGTGTGCCTGTGTGCCCAAAAATCCCAAGAGGAGAATGGAGGACAAGGGATCGTGGCGTGGCCATCCCCCAAAGGGTGATTTCTCACTTTCTGTCTCTCTCACGAGCACACATGCCCTATAGCAAAAAAGAATCATACCTCCTCCCCTCAAACAAATTTCCTTGCCCCTTGCCTACTTTTCCAGCCTTTTGCTGATGGAAACCATCCTCTTGACAAACGACTTATCCCGGTTATCACTGTCCCAAATTCTCTTTATCCTCTGGGGATGGATTATTCTTGTCTAACCTCACTGACCTTCTTAGGTTGTTTTCAGAGACCTTCCCTGGGCCAATTCTCCTTTGTAACCCATTAAAGTAGGGGGTCGATCGTATAGGTGCTGTGTCCCATACCTTCCAATCGCCCCGCCCCCTCCCGCTTCCTACCCAGAACATGGCATGAGTATTCCACATCCCATGAATATGGCAGAATATAAGCCTCACAAAGGCTTGCAGGGCCTGGCAAGACCCTCCCCTACCCCCCGCATCCTGGGCTCCCACTCCATCTCTCACCACCCTCTTCCTGGTCCTCTGTACTCCTGCCTCACCAGCCTCCCTTCCCTTCTTCAAGGGAGCCCAGCACGTGTCTGGCCCTGGCCCTGGCCCTGGCCGTGGCCGTGGCCCTGGCCTGCAGCTCTCCTCTGTCCTGTAGCGTCACAGGGAGCTTTGTGTGGCAGCTTTTCCCCTTGTTCTCTCCTCCAGGGACCTTGGCTCACTAGCCCCATCCCTCCATCTTCTGACTGCTATTTTACTCCACATGGCTTGTTTTCTGTACCTATTAATTGGTCCCTTTGTCTCACTTGAATGTAAGGCCCACTCTGTCTGTGACCTGTTCATTTCTGTGTCTCCAAGGGAGCTCCAGCCTGGCTGCAGCTGGCACTGCATTCACCATTGCTTTCCCCGTCTCTGCCCTCCACGGCCTCCTAGGGAACTGGTATCTCTTGGTATCCCCAGCTCTTATCCCCTGGTAGAGCTGAATCCATGTGTGTTGTGTGTGTCAAATGGTTTGGATAAGAAGTATGGAGGGAGCAGAGAGAGAGGAGGTGAAGACTGGGAAAGGAATTCCAGGTAGATTTGGCATCAGGATGGATGAGGAATGTGAGAGAGAGGGAGGAATGAAGGGTGTTCCCAGTGTGGGCAGGATCTGCGTGGGTCATAGGGCAGCCAGAGGAGAAACAGATTGGTAGGGGAAGTCAACAAGTTTGACTTTAACTCTGTCACTTTGGCTGTGTGCCAAAATGAGTGTCGGCCCTCGGACAGAGCGCTGTTCCACGAGACAGGGAGATCACGCCAGAATCAAATGAAAGTACAAGTACGTTGGTTGAGAAATTCGTATTACAGAACAGAAGTCAAAGAAACCCAGTAATTGCACTCCTAGTATATTTCCAAGAGGAACGAAAACGTACATCTGCCCTAAAATGTGCATGCAGACGTTTGTCCCAGCATTACTCACAAACGCCAAATTGCGGGAACAGCGAATGGCCATTGGTTGATGAATAGACAAAGTGTGGTATATCCATACAGTGGAGTATTATTCCTCCGCCAAACCACACGTGCACGGATACATGGTAGGACACGGGTGACCTTTGAGAACAGTATGCTAAGTGAGAGAAGCCCACCACGAAAGACCCCATCTGGCCTGATTCTGGAACTGTCTAGAAGAGGCAAATCTAGAGAGACAGAACGGAGAAGGGTAACACCTAGAACTGGAGGTGTGGCTAAAGGAGGGAACTGTGGGAGGATGACCATGGCGGCACACAGGGTTCCCTTTTGGAGTGATGAAAATGTTCTAAAATTAATATTTAGGTGATGGTTGTATAAACAAGACTAGGGTGAGAACCATTGAATTGTACATTTTTTTTTTCTCGCCACAGGGCACATGCACTAGACAGAAAGAGAGAAAAAGAAAGTGAGAGATCACCTCCTGGGGGGATGGCCATGCTGCAATCCATTCTCCTGTATTCTTCTCTTGGGATTCTGGGCATGCACACACAAGCTCCCGTCATGACTTTCAAGCCATGGGGTCTGGGACCTGAACCTCCCAACTGGCATGTGGGATCCACTGCCTTAACCTCCATGCCACTTACTGCCCCAAACTGTACACTTTTGATGGGTGAATTGCACAGCGCATGTATTACATCTCTATAGAGGTACTACCAAAAAAAAAAAAAGGAACCGAATGAGCTAGAATAGCAGGTAGATGGAAACAATCATGATGAAAGCAGACATCATCGAATTAAACAGTAGAGAAACAAATGATTAATTTTTTTGAGAGGTTTTTGCTATAGGGCGTGTGCGCTCTCCAGAAAGACAGAGACAGAGAGACAGAAAGCGAGAAATCGCCCCCTAGGGGTGATGGCCACGCCGCAGTCCCTTCTCCTCCATTCTCTTCTTGGGATCTTAGGCACGCACGCACACACTCCTGGCTTGAGTTTAAGCCGCCGGGTCCTGGACTTGAACCGCTGATGGCTACATGAGAGTTCAGCGACATAGCCATTATGCTAACTGCTGGTCCCACAAATGATGAATTTTTACAAGAATTATTTAATTTAATTTATTACTATTTTTCTTCAGTTTGACCAGAGAGAGAGAGAGAGGGAGAGTGAGAAAGTAAGCCACCAGGTCTGGGACTTGAACTGTGGTCAGCCATGTGGGAGTGTCCAGCACCTTAACCACCACGCCACCTGCTGGTCCCCAATGATCATTTTTAAAACATTTTGCCAGATGCCAAATGGCATGCACACTTGCTGGGGAGATGAGGTAGGGGGTGAGAAAACGCCCCCCCATTGGAGTTGGTTTCACTGCAATCCTTTTTCCTCCATTTCTCCCTCCTTTTAGGATTTTGGGCACACAAGCACATACACCCAGCATGTTTTCCAATTCACCAGGTCCAGGACTCAAACTGTGCAGTCAGCCATGTGGGATCTAGTTGCCTTAACCATCAGAATTCACACTGACCCCAAATAATAATTTTTTAAAAACTGTCAACTAGACCAATGTCAACCAGACTAGACAATATAGTGATGAACTTGGTGCATTCTGGCATAAACCCTCTTTTCTACGGGTAGGGAGTAGCCAGTTCGTGGGCCCGTGCTACCCACAGGCCACACTCAGCAGCCCCAGCAAAGACTTCAGCAATGGGGCAGGAGTGGTCAGCATGAACCGGGAGAACCAGGGGGCCTTGGTGAAGAGAACGATTGGCCGGCCCCGTGACGCTGGCTTGTGCGCAGTTGCCCTGTGTGATGGCCAGGAGGCATTTATAAACACGGCCTGAACCTTCTTTTCTTTCTTTCCAGAGACTCCAAGTGCAACTGCGACCCAGCTGGCATCGCCAGACCCTGTGAGGCGGGCCGCTGCATCTGCAAGTCAGCTGTCACTGGAGAGCGCTGTGACAGGTCTGTGTGCACGGTGGCCCTGCAGACAGCAGGGAGTCTCATGGTGACTAGCATGAGAATTAATTCTATGAGTGCAATGACAGAAAGGGACACTGTTCAACAAGTGTTGGTGACCTTCTTCCTACCCTCTGTCGTCAAAAACCAGGCTTTAAGAAAAAATACAGATCTGCTCTGGGTCCCTCCCTTCTCTGCATTTTTACTGTAGCAAAGGTATGGATACTCAGTCCAAGGTGGTGTGCTGTTCTGAGATCGTGTGACTCGGTTCGGCCCCAGAAAAGGCCAGGCCTCATTAAACAGGTTGAGAAAATCTATACAAGAGGGACTCTCACTGCATATGGCCCTGTCTGACCACTGTGTACAAAAGGAACCCTCTCAGAGGTGGGATGGTGACATGCATTCACATGAACTGGGGGACTCACTAGAGCCCTTTGGGCTGAGTCCTGTTGGGGTGGGATGGGCAGTTAGGAGCCCTTCCCTGTAGGCCGGTGCTGCTGCAGGGCATGGCTCACAAAGTGCGGACTGGCCGACTTGAAGCACTTCCCTCCCCTGAGATGGTTGTGGTCAGAGGGGCTGTGAGGTTGGTCCCAAAGGTAAAGGCTTCCTCCTCATTTCCTTAAAAGTAAGAAAGCAGGTTTTTTTTGGCACCCTGCCAATGACTTATACCTGGGTGGAGGAAATGCCGACCACATTCCTACCTGGTATTTTCAGGGTGTTCTTTGCTCCTGGGGTAAGGATAGGGAGAGAAAGCTTCAGTGTGAAAAGCCACTTCTTGAAAGCCTTTTTAATTTCAAAGTATAACACAAAATGAACAGCCACATAAACCCAAGGTCATCACCGCCAATGAGAAGAAATCGAACTCTGCTAGAAGGTACCGTGACAGCCTCCCTCCTGCCTAGAGGTGACACTATTCTGACTGTCATGGCAACCCCTTTCCACTTTTCTGCACTGTGTTCTAGCGCCATCCTGATCTGCTGTCGTTCAGCCTCTCTAACTCCCTCCCCACCTTCTCTGTCCCCCTCCTTCCTCTGCCACTTCCTTATTTTTTAGTCTTTTTTAATCTACAGATTTCCTCTCCATAGAAACCATAATGATTTTTTAAACCCTGTTCTTAGAGAACAATCAGTGCTTGTCCATTTCCAGCTGTTCTCTGAATTCTCTACGGTCGCCTGCTTTTCTGTGACACGGTGCAATGACCTCACCCCCATGTATGGTCCAGTGGCGTAGATGACATGATTTGGACGCAGATGTCCTTGCCTCAGCCACTTGAAACTATATGACCTTGGACAAGTTTATTGCCCTCTGGCCTTGACCTTGGCATCTAAGAAAATTGCAAATAGCAATTCCTACCTCATAGGGTGTAGGGAGGATTAAATGAGAGAGTGTAGGTAAGGGGCCTGGCACAGCATACACGCTAAATACGTGACCATTGGGACTATGCCTATTCTGTGGGGAAGGACGTGGTAGAGTTGAACAGAGAGGAAAGCAGTCCTTCCAGCTCTGCCGGCTCCCTTTGTAGTCCCAACATCTGAGATGGTCCCGGCAGTTGTGGTCCTAGAGAAGCCTCTGGAAGGCTGGGAAAGCCAGCCAGCGCTGTGTTGCAGTGTCTCTAGCCATCCTTTGTCATCCCTGTCATCCTCTCCCCTGCCCTGGTTCCCTGTGGACCAGATCTCGGGTGTGAGGGGCAGGGATGGTGATTAGTATCCAGTTGTCTTGGTGTCTGGGGGTTCGTGCAGCTCAGAGGGGGCTGAGGTAGAAGCCTTGCCTCCTGCCCTCCACCTTCCTACTCTGTTGTCCCCATTAAACACTTGCTCTAAGACAGGGCGACTCTGCCTACCCCTCCCTGTCTGGCCCCTGACCTCCACATATTTCCTCACCGAGGAGGGTCAAGACCACAAGACAGAGGTGTCTCTGCTATACCAGAGAGGTAGAAAGTGCGCTTTCAATTGCGGGGAGACTGTGATTGTCCATCAGACAGTCAAAGAGTGGAGGTGGGGTGGACAGCTTGGCCTCTCCCTCCCCCAGAAGTATTAATAATAGGGCTGAGAGAGAAAGTGAAGAGGCTGAACCAGTCACACAGTCCCCACGGAATAAGAATAACCCGTGACATCATCCTGACTTCCAATGCCCTGCAGGTGTCGAGCGGGTTACTATCACCTGGACGGGGCCAACCCTGAGGGCTGCACCCCGTGCTTTTGCTACGGGCATTCAGCCAGCTGCCGCAGCTCTACAGACTACAGCATCCATAAGATCACCTCGACCTTCCATCAAGGCAAGGCATTTTGTCTTTTAACCTTATCATAAAAACAAAAAACAAACAAACAAAAAAAAAAACAAAACAAACCTTTTTAAAAGTTTATTTGTTTCATGAAAGAGAGACAGAGAGATACAGTATTCTGGACTGGGTCCCACTGCCACAATCCACTCCACCCACACCCCCATCCTGGCCAGCCTTCCTTCCAGCATGCCCAGCATATTCAGGGAAGTCTCCAGATTCGAACTGTAACATTCCCCTGTGGGAATCACCTGGCAGAGCTTCACATTTTACCACTGTGCCTCCATCTAGCCCTCCAAGGAATTGAATTTTCTAGGTTTACGTTTTTTAAGCATTGTACAGGGCTTTGTGCTTACAGACAATCACGGGACAGACTCTGGAGTCTTTAGTGACCCTCTCATGGTTTTTAATGTACGTCAATTAGCTAAGGCAATAAAACATTCCCTGGTGTCTTGAAAACATCATAACTGAACAGTTCACTGAGACCTGTGTATGAATGGCTTAAAAGAATCACTAAAAAGAGACTAGGTTGTTACCCCCTGCATTTCCTAACCCCATCTAATTTAAAACCATAAACAAAATTATTCATTTGGATTGAGGAGCTTATGAAACTCTTCCTGGAATTCACATTACTAATAATACTGCTTTCATAGACATTAAAGGAGTTAATGTCTGTGAAATTGATTATCAAGCTATAGAGCACTATAAAAATAATGAGAATTGGTATTATTTTAACTTTAAGTCTGATTTTCTCTTGGACTGTATTGGATCCTGTCACCTCATTGAGGCCAGATGCTGTTTATATAACTATCAAAAAATGTAAATTACTGACAGATGAAAGCATTCTTTTTTAAAAAGACTTATTTATTTAACTTTATTTATTATTATTTTAGTTTACTATAGGGCACATGTGCTCACCAGAGACAGAGAGAGAGAGAGAGAGAGAGAGAGAGAGAGCGCGCAAGCGAGAAAGCAAGTCACCAGGTCCAAGACTTGAACCGTGGTCAACCATGTGTTAGTCTAGTGCCTTAACCACTGTGCCACCTGCTCACCCTGAATACATAATTTCTTATCACAGGAGTCAGTCTCAAAGATGAGAAGTCAAAGCCACTACAGGGTGGAAATGTGTGTGGTTAAGATTTGAGTAAAAAGTACATGGAGAATTTTAATTTTAAGAAATATATACTAATGTGGAAATATTAAGAAAACCCTGCCTGGTACTCACCACTAGGACTTTTTGGCAAGCAAATCTTATTTAACTCAATAGAAGATGAGGTTTTATCTTGGATGCGAAGTGCTTTCGTTTGTGTTCCAGATATTGACGGCTGGAAGGCTGTCCAAAGAAATGGGTCTCCTGCAAAGCTCCAGTGGTCACAGCGCCACCGGGATGTGTTTAGCTCGGCCCGACGATCGGACCCTGTCTATTTTGTGGCACCTGGTATGTGAGGGGTCTTTTTTTCCTAATCGAAGCCAACTTAGAAGAAGTCCAGTTAGAAAAATGGAGTATGGAAACAATATCGCCTGGGGTTCAAGGCAGCTGTATTTCCAGAACGCAGAGGGGGACTCAAGCCCAATTTGATAGTCACTAATACATAGCACATAGAACAAAGCGGAGAGCGCTGAAGGTCAGAGGCTGGCTGAGGTGCCTGCTTTAATCAGATGAGCAGTTTCTAGTTTTCCCACCCACATAAGAAATCAGGACTATGGTCAGATCTGTGGGTCTTTCGAGAAGCAGATGGGAAAGCAACAGCAAAGCATTTCTTCTTCTTCTTCTTCTCCTTCTCCTTCTCCTCCTCCTCCTCCTCCTCCTCCTTCTTCTTTAGAAAGATTATTGCTATAGGGTGCATGTGCTTGCTGGAGAGACACAGAGATACAGAAAGCGAGAAATCACCCTCCAGGGGGGATGGCCATGCCACAATCCCTTCTCCTCCATTCTCCTCTTGGGATCTTAGGTATGCACGCACAAGTGCCCAGCATGAATTTCAGGTTGCTGAGTTCGGGACTCGAACCATGGTTGACTATGTGGAAGTCCAGTGATGTATCCATTACTACATCTGCTGGTCCCACAAAGTGTTCCTTAAAGTCTCAAACATGTTGAAGTTCAAAATAAATATATGGTAGTCAGTGGTGTGTGCTTGAGTGGAAAAACTCTAGCCAGAATTCTAATCCTAGTCCGTGTCCTTAGCGCATCTGTAATTCCTGGGCGAGCTGTTCTCTTAGCCCTTCTGAACTTCAGCTCTCTTGAATGGTAAAGTGGGAATAGCTATGCTCGCTCCAAGAATTATTCCCATGAAATGTGATGATGTTTGTTACAGTTTCGTAAACTGTAAACGTTACCTAACAAGTGGCATTATTGCCGATATGCCTGGGAGTGTCAGGGCATAAGGGCCATGCCATGAAGTATGTTATAGATGGAATTGTCCCACAACAAGGCTCTTTTAGCACTGAGTAACACACCCTCCTTTTTAGCCAAAAATACAGCCAGGTTCCATGCCTTGTGCCGATTCTTCTGGCAGAGTGGCTTGGGGCCAGATGGTAGGTGGGAAGTGAGATTCCAATAGGAGTGACCAACACTGATGCCGACCTGCACAGCCATGCCGCCAATTTCTCCACTGATCTCAATCTTTCAAAATTCTATTTCACAGCCAAATTCCTTGGGAACCAACAGGTGAGCTATGGGCAAAGCCTGTCTTTTGACTACCGTGTGGACAGGGGAGGCAGACACCCATCCTCCCATGACGTGATCCTGGAAGGTGCTGGACTACGGGTCACGGCTCCCTTGATGCCCATTGGCAAGACCCTGCCCTGTGGGATCACCAAGACGTACACCTTCAGGTAAAACAGGAAGCCACCAGGGGGTCAAATAGTGCGACCTCTCATTACCAAATCCTTTGTTCATTCATTAAGTCATTATCCATTCATTTAACAAGCTTTTCTGAGTGCTTTTTACACGCTAGACGTGGTGTTATGTGCTGAGATAGGACATGATTTTGTTCCTCACATAGCTGACGAGCTAACAGGAGAGATAAATAAACATGATTATAGTGCCGTTTGTCAAGTGACAAGGATAGACAAGGTGACACAGGTGTTCTGGACACATGTAGGAGGCCCAGCTGACCTGCACCGTAGTGATCAAAGAAAGTTTCTCAAAGAGACATGACAAATATAAGAGCAGCTCTCTAAGGAAAGCAACGGAAGAAGAGTTTAGGGAGGCAGAGGAAATAGGCTTGAGAAGTTTGGAGCATTTAGACAATTCTGAGCAGTTGAGTGTGAGTGGAGTGTGAAGAGGGGGAGGAGTACAGTGAGAAGGAGGGTCAGAGAAAGAGGTGGGTGCGTGGGTGACCCTGTAGACCCTGTTACCCTGTAGAACGGGGATTCTACGTTGGTGCATTCAGAGATCAGGGAAGGGATCTGTGAGCTGTGCCTGCTCAGTGCTCAGCGCTGCCGTAGAGGCTGAGAGATAAAGACGGAAGCAGCCTTTGTCTCCAGGAGCTGATGCTCTGGGTGGCTCATAACATGTCCAGAAGCAAACACAGCACAGTGCAATCACTGCTTCAGCGGGGCATGCTCATGGGCTCAGTCTTGGGAAGAAAGGAACAAGGGGAGGAGTTGGGTGAAGCTTCACCAAAGAGGCAACTTGTGGGCTGAGAATGGGAAGAAGCACAAGAAGGAAAGTCATTCATGGGAACACCTGAAAAGGCAGCGTGTTGGGGTAACTGGCAAGCAATATTTGTGACTGGAACTCAGTACACAACAGGGGCACTGCGCAGATGAGGCTGAAAGACTAGAAAGGGACCATGATGCTGAGACATGTAGCTCATGTCCAGGGGCTTCGATCTTACCTATGGTGGAGAGCCACTGAAAGACAGTAAGTGGAGACGTGTCATGGTCATTGGTGAAGGCTGGGTGCAAAGACTGTGTGGAGGAGAGTTTGGGTAGGGTCCTTAACTGGATCTTCAGGACACGTTGGCAGTGGTCAAGTGGTTGGGAGCCTAGCTCAGGGCCAAAGGGCTGGGACTAGGGAAAAGAAGACCCACAGTGCACACACAGTTGCTGTACTTACATAACTGTTACTGGGGCTAGCAGGTGGTGTGGTGGTTAAAGTGTTGGACTCCCATGTGATCAATCACAGTTCAAGTCCTGGCCCTGGCAGCTTGAAATTCACACTGAGCACGTGTTTGCACAGGTCCAAAATGCCAAGAGGAGATGGGAGGAGAAGGGATTATGGCATGACCATTCCCCCTCCCCCCCAGGGGAGAGGGGTTGTGATTTCTCACTTTCTGTCTCTCCCTGTCTCTCTGGCAAGCACACATGCCCTATAGGGAAAATCTCTAAAAAAGTAAATAAATAAAACAACCGTTACTTATTCTAATGATGCATGCATGTCCGTGCACGCATGCACACACCCACAGATGCACACAGACACAGAAACCTCCTGCTTGAAACACCCATTCTCACCTTCTCAGCGTGGTGAACTTACTCTCTGAGGTTCAGCTTGCAGGTCCTTCTTTTGTATGACCCTTCTCAGAATCCCAGGTCAAGTTGCAGTGACCTCGTGCCCAGCTGTGGCATTGTGTGTGTGCATGTGCCACAGTACTCATGCGTTGTATTCTGACTACTTGCCTACCCAGCCACTCTCCTGCCTGAGCCCCAGTCACCTCTCTGAGGTTGTCTTTACATCCTCCAGCCTGACACAGCTTCTAGCCCAAACCCAGTGCACAGTTAACTTGCATTTAATGAATCAGCGAATGAAACAAAAAGGTTAGGGTTGTTTCTAGAAGAGATAGTCCAATTAAAAAATAATAGTAAAAGAAAATGAAAAAAAAAAACCAATCATGCAGGGGCTGATGATAGAACACAGGGAGGCATTTTGATGCCAAATTAAGCAGTAATGGATGTGGACAATGTAGAAAGTTGAAGCTAATTTTTAAAAAGAGCAAGTGAAGTGTGCTCAAATAGCAAATCATTTCAAAAACAAAGCCACAAATGAATACTAGCTCTTGAGGATCAGAACTTCTGGACTCAGTGATGTTTATAATATTGAGTTTAGCATGGTCAAGAATAGACAGTGGGATCTGAGACCCTGGGACCAGCATCGCTTCAGGTGGCGTGACCCTCGGACTAGATTTTCCACGTGGGGATGTCCCAGTCATGGCATTCGGTTTACCCTCTCCATGGAGAGAGAGCTCAGTTTGTGCCCCTGAGGAGGCGCTTCCAGTCCCTCTAATCAGGACTGCCAGGCAGTATAGCTGTTCCCACACTCTCAGGCATAATTTGTGGCAGGTTGGGATGTGATATGAGTCAGATTTTCAAAGATTTTGCTTCTCAACGGTGCAGGTTAAATGAACACCCAAGCAGTCATTGGAGCCCCCGGCTGAGTTATTTTGAGTACCGACGACTACTGCGGAACCTCACGGCCCTCCGGATTCGAGCCACGTATGGAGAATACAGTAAGTGACCAGGAGAAGTGCCTTTCTCTCTTCTTAGATTTGGCGTGAATTTGCTTCAGCTCCCTGAAATGGTGACAGTCTCCAAACAAGCGGATGAACTTCTTGGTCTGACCTAGAGTCTCTAACTGAATCTAAATTTTTATACTGTCGAAGTTTTGTTTTTTTTTTTAATTTATTTTATTCATGATAGAGAGCTTATTCTCACATGAGAAAGGGAGAGAGAGAAGAACCTTAGACAGGATCTTGTCATGCCTTGACCCCATTTCCCCAGCCTTCCAGCTCCTCAGGATCTTGGGTATGTGTCCGGCAAAGCTTTAGGCTGGCCTGGGGATTTGAACCTCTCGCTGGTCATGTGACCTCCACTATTACAATTCCATTCTCTTACCATCTGCATCACCAAGCTAGACTGGGAAGAAACAAAGCTGGAAGTAGGAGAGCTGTTTACTGACGACGTACTGGACCTGTGCTGTGTGCCAGGAGCATTATAATATAGTCATTGTTGTCCCATTTAATTTTCATCCCAAGCATAGGAGATAGATAGCATTGTTACTTCTCTCCTACAGTAAAAGAAACCCAGTCGTGGGAGGTCTGTGACTTGCCCAGTTCGAAGACTCGTGAGGGTGGGGCTGGACTCTCACCCCTGGTTCTTCCGACTCCAGAGCCTGTGTGCCCCTTTACCTTGGTTCATAAGAAAAATCTTAACCTCATACTTGCTCTGCAAACTGCATCTCCTGACTAAAACTTCCCAGCGTGTTGCCGGACTGCTCTGCCTCTCGGGGTGCTCTGTTGGGTGGATACCACCTGCCTTGGGCGAGGAGCTAAGAAAAATCAACTCCAAAGACAGACCCAACTTCAGATCTTCAGACTTTGCCAGACGCTATTTCTAACAGGGTTTTCTCTCTTGCAGGTACTGGGTACATTGACAATGTGACCCTGGTTTCAGCCCGCCCCGTCTCCGGAGCCCCAGCGCCTTGGGTTGAACAGTGTGTGTGCCCTGTTGGGTACAAAGGGCAGTTCTGCCAGGATTGTGCTTCTGGCTACAAAAGAGATTCTGCAAGACTGGGGCCTTTTGGCACCTGTATTCCCTGCAACTGCCAAGGGGGAGGGGCCTGTGATCCAGACACAGGTGAGTGAGATGTCACCTGGACCAGATGGCTGTGAGGGAGGGGGGGATGCTTGCAGCCAAGTGACCGAGGGCTCCCATGGAAGAGAAAGAGCTTTGTATGAAAGGTCCCCGTCCCCCAACTCATTTTAGAGATGGGGAAGGATTCTGGAGAGTAGGGCGGAGTCAGGGGAGATGGACGGGTGCCTAGATAGCGCAATCCTTTGCATTATGGACATGCCACAGGTTGCAAGAAAGGTGCTAGGTTACAGGAAATGGCTGTGCTTCAGGGCGGAGTGAGGGAGTTGGTGTCAGGTTGCAAAAATTGTGTGGGGAGATCAAAGGCAAGTCCCGGTCTGAATGATTGTGCCGACAAATGGTGTCTGGGCCTGCAGGTCTGGGGAGCTGGGCTAAGTCGTGGATACTGAAGGAAGTGTGTGCCTGTCATGGAAGACTGAGCGTCTCAGCCATGTTCCAGTGGGTGCTAGAGCAGGGGTGAAGCCCATGAGAAAGAAGTCGGAGAAACTCCAGAAAGGAAAGCCTCGAGTTCCTCCACTCTGAGCCCACGCAGCCTCCATACTGAAGGACATGTATTGCCTGCCCCTTGTCATGCCTCTGTCTGCCATTCTTCTGCTCCCAGGAGACTGCTATTCTGGAGATGAGAATCCTGACATCGACTGCGCCGACTGTCCCCTCGGTTTCTACAATGACCCACACGACCCCCGCAGCTGCAAGCCCTGCCCCTGCCACAATGGGTTCAGCTGCTCTGTGATGCCCGAGACTGAGGAGGTGGTGTGCAGTAACTGCCCCCCTGGGGTCACCGGTAAGGCCCAGGGCTGGCTGCCGCCTGCCCACCCTGTCCTGATGCTGTGGATCTATGTATATAACTTCCACTCTGAGGAATTTCCAGGCTGTTGTAATTCCTTAGGGCTCATCCAGACGTGTTGCTTCTAAAGATAAGAGTGCATGTTGCCCACAAAGTGGAGGGCATTGAGCAGGGGCTGAGTGTGAGACAGAGGAGGCCCCGCTAACACTGTTGGGGGGTTTATAATGGGGAGATGCAGTTTGCAGAGCAAGCACGTGGTTTGTTTTTCCTTAATGAACCAAGATAGAGTGGGAGCATTTAGTGACCTCTTCACTGTCACATCCCTCTGCTGGTTAGTCTGAAAGAATTCATCCTTGAGCGGCAGCCATGGTGGTGTGGCAGGGAACCATTTTCCGCCCGCGGAAGCGTCCCCCCGCCTGTGGAGCTGCAGGCTCAGCCGCCTAGGGGTGTGCTGTGTTCTAAGATCTGGGGGCTGAGTGCACTGTCTCTGCCATGTGCCCGGGTCTGCTCCTGTGGGTGTTGCTTCTGGCCCAGGGCAGCGCGTGTCTCTGGCTTCCAGAGCATAGCCTACCACTTTAGGCCTCTGCGTCTGGTCTTGTTGCTGGGGCATGACACTCTGGACTTTGACATTGGTTTTCTCCCAGGTGCCCGCTGTGAGCTCTGTGCCGATGGCTACTTTGGGGACCCCTTTGGGGAGCGTGGCCCAGTGAGACCCTGTCAGCCCTGTCAGTGCAACAACAACGTGGACCCCAGCGCCTCTGGGAACTGCGACCCGCTGACCGGCCGGTGTCTGAAGTGCATCCACAACACGGCTGGCGCCCACTGTGACCAGTGCAAAGCTGGCTACTTTGGGGACCCGCTGGCTCCCAACCCTGCAGACAAGTGTCGAGGTAGGCCTGCACCCCGAGACAGGCTGTGTCTGTGTATGGATGTGAATGTACCTGCTTGCTAGTGAGGACACATGGAAGCAGGAGCAACAGCAGTGGAAATTGTGAGGCTACCTGGGCTCTGAGCGCACTGGCCCTGAGCAGGCTAGACTGTTCCCTGTCCAAGGCCACAGTCCAGGTCTCCCTGCAGCAGGGCTCTGGAGAGAGGCTCCCAAATGGGTTAAATATAACTGAGAGAAGTGCAAGAGGTTGGGTTGACATTCCTAAGAGGAAGAAAAGACAAATGGAACCACCTCCTCTGCCCAGTCCCTAGGCAGGTAGCTGGGGAGTGGCTGCCTGCCTGTAAGAGGAGAGTGAGGTATGGCTGGAGACAGTCCAGCAAACAAGTGAGAAGGAGGAGGCCGGGAAGGCATTGGGACACCCCTTAGGGAGTCGGCATGACTGACATATAGAAGGGTACCTCCTAAGGTGACCAGGTTTACAGAGCAGCTCCCACAGCAGTCCGAAGGCTGCTCAGATCAAAGCACGAATGTGCAGGGCAGGCCCTCGCTCCTCTCTGGAACCTCTGCACCTGTACGTTCTAGAGGCAAGTTCAGTTTTTGAGAGACAGGCCTGCCCACGGACTCACCCGTTGTCGCAGCGGTCCCAAACTGGCCCTGGTAATCCAAACTCAGGACGTGTCTATTATAAGATCTAGAGTGGTTCTGGAGACCCAGAATAGAGGACTGCTGGTTTCCCAGAAAGGCCCAGAGATCTTCAGGGCACCCGGAGCCTTCCGCTTACACCAGAATCTCTGCCTGGAAATGCCCAAGGAGCTCTGGGCAATCTGGGGATCCTACCCAAGGCAGATATCCTTCGGAGATTACTGAGCCAGATTGGCTCTGATCCCAAGCTTCCGGTTAGCTCTGATGGACTGGAAGGCACGGCACAATAGGTAACATCAGCAATATGGGTTCAAGGCCAGTTTGGTAACATTTTATTATATTCTACTGATTGTGCCAACTAAGCCCTTTGAGCCTCAGTTTCCTCATAGGTATGAATAATACACGGGGTCTTCAAAAAGTTCTTGGGAATAAACGATCCATGGATTTAAAAATGTTTTTGCAATAAAATAAATTCATGGTGTAATTCCATTTTTTCCATGACAGTTTTTGAAGTTGCTTTGAGTTTAACTCAAATTGATTGCAAAGAAAAATAAAATAGCATACAAGAATGAACACTGTGGGGTCAGCAGGTGACAGGGTGGTTGAGGCGCTGGACTCTCACATGACTGACTATGGTTCAGGCTTGCTTTCTCACTTTCTCTCTCTCTCTCTTTCCATATCTTTCTCTGGTCAGGTTTTAAAAAATAATAATAAATGATTTTTTTAAAAGAATGAACACTGTTAAGTTCTCTTTATAATTATAGTTATAAAGGACCAGCAGTTGGTGTAATGGCTATGTCGCTGGACTCCCATGTAGTCGACCACCACTCAAATCCCGGACTCAGTGTCTTAAACTCATGCCACAGTGTGTGTGCATACATGCCCAAGATCCGGAGAGGAGAATGGAGGAGAAGGGATTGTAGCATGGCCATCGTCCCTGGGGGGCGATTTCTTACTTTCCATCTCTGTCTCTCTCTGTCTTTCTGACGAGCGCAGGCACCCTGTAGCAAAAACCTCTCCAAAAAAAGAAAAGTGTTATTCGTGGAGATTTCACTGGCTTTAGATCATATATTTATTTACTAAACTATCTTTTTAAATCACTTACCATGTACCTATGTAAGCCTAGATACTGAGATTATAATGATGCATAAGTCAGTCCCAGCTCTCAAGGAGTTCAAATGTTAATAAGAAAGACACATAAGGGGCTAGCAGGTGGCATGGTATTTAAGGCACTGCACTCCCACATGGCAGACCACAGTTCAAGTCTCAGACCTGGTAGCTCAAGGATCACGCCCAGCATATGTGCATGTATGCCCAAAATCTCGAGAAGAGATCGAAGGAGAAGAGATTGCAGTATAGTCATTCCTCCTGGGGGGAAGGGGGCAGTTTCTCACTCTCTCTCTCTTTCTCTCTCTCGCAAGGGAATGTGCTCTATGGCAAAAACTTTGAAAAAAAGAAAGACACGCAAATAATGATAGTAACTTAGATACATGATAAGTGTTTTGTGAGCACCAAAGAAAAAGCAATCTAGAGAATCACTGTCACCAGAATCCCTGTCATCATCAGAGCTGTCCCACCTTCCACTATTTTATCTTTAACCCCTAAAGGAAAAGTTGCACATAGTAGGTGCTTGATCAACTTGATTGCATTAATAAAGTAATGCTTTATTACTACATCAGAGGCAGCAGGCTTAGCTGCAGTGGAGCAGACAGTAGGGACACTACTGGATGATGCTGGAAGCCCCATGGGAAGGCTCTGGGTTCGTGTTCCAGGTCTTCCTAAACATATTGGGTATGCCTAAGGGCACGCCATGATACTGGCTGGCTGGCAGAGTGGAGGGGCTGGGGGAGAGAAGATCACAGGATGGAAACCCTATCAAGGGTGCCCCCCCCAACTCTCATGAAGCAAATGCAAAGCAAACAAACCAAACAGGGCCAACTCCATGGCCTGGTGGTTAAGGCAACCGGATCCCTCATGGCCTACCATGTGGGTGGAGTCCCAGATCCAGCAGCTTGAGAAGCAAGCCAGGGAGATGTCTACATATCTAGTACATACGAGGCTCAGAAGTGCCGGAGTGCTTTTTGAGCAAAGCCAGAGTGCCGGCCTGCAAGAGGCTTACAGTTTAACAGAGGGAGCAAACGAGCACTGGCTGAAATGACGGATGCCCTCTTCATCCACACACACCTGAAACCCACCTGTATTAGAAGTGTGCTTGCAGGCATAGCTGAGAGGTGAATATAACAGCATGAATCCCCATGGGCAAAGGGTTCTTCATCACTGGAGACTGATCATCTTCCTTTTGTCTTTAGTATACTTCTTTTATTTTTAAGAATTATTTGTTTAATTTTATTTATTCATTCATTAATTTTTTAATTTGACCACAAAGACACACACACACACACACACACACACACACAGAGAGAGAGAGAGAGAGAGAGAGAGAGAGAGAGAGAGAGAGACAGAAAGCAGGCTGCCAGGTCCAGGGCTTGAACCATGGTTGGCCATGTGGGAGTGTCCAGTGCCTTAATCACCACACCACCTGCTAGTCCCTCTTTACTTCAAGCAACTGAATTTATCTGTCTCTTGTCTCCAGCTTGTAACTGCAACCCCATGGGCTCGGTGCCCGTAGAGTGTCGAAGTGATGGTAGCTGTGTTTGCAAGCCGGGATTCGGTGGCTTCAACTGTGAACATGCAGCCTTAACCAACTGCCCAGCTTGCTATAATCAAGTGAAGATTCAGGTACCCTTGCTTCTTCTTACCACCTCCACCCACAGAATCCACTCCTCAGTGTCCCCTGGGTGGTTCTCTCACAGATCTAGGGCTCTCCTTGCCTCCTGGGGAAAGAAGTAGAGACTATTGTTTCTTTCTTTAAAAATTATTGTATTTGACCTAACTGTGGTGGCGCAGGCAGTAGGGCACCACCACGTGATGCTGGAGCCACATGGAAGTTTCCAGTTCAGGTCCCAGGTCCACCTGAACATGCCAGGCATGTGATTCTGCCTGTCTAGGAGGCTGTGGGGAGGATCGTGGCATGGTGAAAGCTTGTCAGGCATACCTCTCTCTCAAGAAATAAACTTAAAAAAACTTACAGTATTAAAAATGTAGTATAATATTCTAGGCTTGTGTTCTTAAATATACCATGTTCAGAATTCCTTTACAGAGGCTTTCTCATGTGGTACTCCTGCTAACTTAGTTGAAGTGGAAGAAATGTATTCTGACCTCAGCTTTCACTGGTTAAACAAGGCTGGGAATATTTTCCATGTTTCTAAAGGGGCATGGCCAGGTGGAAGTGAGAATCCCACCCTTGTCCCCTGACTCTATTCCTTCTACTATAATATGCCACTTTCCAGCCAGATTTTTTTTAATACTTTTTTTTTTTTTTGGAGAGGTTTTTGCTATAGGGCATGGGTGCTCACCAGACAGACAGAGAGAAACAGATAGAAAGCGAGAAATCACTCCCCAGGGGGTCTGGCCACACCACAATCCCTTCTCCATTCTCCTCTCGGGATCTTGGGCACGCATGCACACATGCCCGGCGTGAGTTTAAGCCACCGGGTCCGGGACTCGAACTGCAGTCGACTATGTGGGAGTCCAGCAACATAGCCATTAACACTAACTGCTAGTCCCTGTAGCCAGATTTTTTACCAAGAGATTTCCTTGTAAAAACAAATGAAGAAAAATATAAACATAAAAAAAAACATGAAGAGTCTAGACAGTCTGAACAGAAATGGCCTCCAGAAGTTTCTCATTTGAATTCGAGAGAAGAATGAATGTGAGATTGTTGTTAATTCTTTATTGTTTTCTGGAGTCGCAGGTAGGGGAGTAAAGGGCCCAAACAGAACTCCAAATGTAGAACCAACTCAACCCATTCTTTTATTTTTCATCTATTTATTTAATAAGACTTTTCTAGTACTTTCTTTGTCCCAGGCATTGTTCTAAGCATCTTAGAAATATCAACTCATTTAGTCCAAGTATTATTATTTTTATTCTACAGATAAAGAAAATGGCTCACCAAGATCACACAGCTGGTGGTCCATACTTAAAAGAGCCTAGGCTCTGGAGTGTAAACCCTTAGTCCCTGTGGTGTGCCAGGTGTTTCTGGGCTCCGAGCTGTGCACTCCTGGGCACCTGGTACAGGACTGTGGTCTCCATTGCCTGTTCTCAACCTCTTCCCTGTGTGGTTACAGATGGACCCGTTCATGCAGCAGCTTCAGAGCCTGGAGACCCTGGTGTCAAAGGCTCAGAGTGGCAGTGGAGCAGTTCTCAACACAGAGCTGGAAAGCAGGCTGCAGCAAGCAGAGCAGGCCCTTCGGGACATTCTGAGAGATGCCCAGATTTCAGAAGGTGATGAAGGCCAGCCTCCCTCTGGATAGGGGAGGACGCACATTCTTAGAAGGAATTGTGACACCAAGTCACAGAATCACCTGTGGCCTTCAGTTTGGCAGGTGTCTCCAGCCAACCCTTGCTGAAGTGGAAGGAGTGTCTGTGACATCCCTTGGGACCCTAGCGATAGAGATGAAGAAACAGTTGCATGCATTAAGTCATTGGGTTTTCATCATTTTGCCATGGCCAGTGAACCTTCCGTTAATGTCTGAGGTGGTGTGCTGACCCAGGAAGTGCTCATCATCCCGTTCTTTCTTTGGTTCAGGTATGAGCAGATCCCTCAATCTCCAGTTGGCCAAGGTGAGGAGCCAAGAGAACAGCTACCAGAACCGCCTGGATGACCTCAAGAGGACCGCGGAACGAGTCCGGGCCCTGGGAAATCAGTATCAGGACAGAGTTCAGGATACCCGCAGGCTTATCACCCAGATGCGCCTGAGCCTGGCAGAAAGTGAAGCTTCCCTGCGAAACACCGTAGGTTCGGCCGGGTTAGGGGACTGAGAATTACTGCTATATCAGGAGTCCTTTTCATAGATCTCACATTCTGCCTCTCTGGTTTTCTGGTCTACCTGGCAGGTAGTTGGACTTCTCTTCCTTATAACAGTTGCATCTATTCTTTATGTTTTGGGCCTCTTATAATTTCCCATTTTATTGCACTTTGTTCTTCTCCCTAGTTCATTTATTCCTAACACTCTCATGGTGGCCCTGCCTCTTCTTTCTGTAGATCTCTTAGCTCATTAGCTCTTGAGGGGCAGGATTTGTCTTACTGGTATTTGCATGCTCATACCCATGTGTGGCTGTGGCAAATATCTTCTGTATGATGGTAAATATCTTCTGTATGATTGAATGATTGAATAAAGGAATAAATAAATATGGAAAGAAGAAAGGAAAGATGGATGAAGGGAAGAAGGGAGACTGGGAGGTACAAAAGAAGGTAGTCAGGCAGGAAGGAGCCCAATAAAGACATTCTGAAATGGAGGAAATAAATCATTATTGATATGCTTGTCTTTCTTCTTTCTTTCTCTCTTTCTTTCCTTTCTTTTTTTCCTTTCCTTCTTTCGAGAATTTTGCTATAGGGCATATGTACTCACCAGAGAAGCAGAGACAGACACTTGAAAGTGAGAAATCACTCCCAAGGAGGATGGCCATGCCACAATCCCTTCTTCTCCTGGGATCTTGGGCTCTCCCCCCACCCCCATACACAAACACAGACACACACATGGTGTAAATTTTTAGCCACTGGGTCTGGAACTTGAACTATGATTAGATTAGCCATCTGAGAGTCCAGCGATGTAACAGCTATGCCTTCTGTTGGCCACACCAGTATGATTTTCTTTTCTTTCTTTCTTTTTTCTTTCTTTTTTTTTTTTTTTTTCCGAGAGATTTTTGCTGTAGAGCACTTGTGCTTGCTGGAGAAACACAGAGAGATAGAAAGTGAGAAATCATACCCCGCAATAGGGATGGCCATGTCACAGTCCCTTCTCTGCCATTCTCCTCCCTAGATTTCGGGCATCCAAGCACACATGCTAGAGTGAGTTTTAAGTTGCCAGGTGCAGGACTTGAACCATGGTTGCTATGTGGGAGTCCAGCGATATAATCAGTATGCATCTGCTGGTCCCCAGTGTGTTTTTTATTAAATGATGTAATTTGTAGTGTGATAGGGAGAGATTTGGCTGAGCACTCTTCCATTTCTGAATAAAGAAGGCTAAGGTGACAATAATATAAGTGGATGGATAGGAGATAAAGAAAGAAATTGAAAGATAATCAGATGCTATGATAAGGGAGTTGCATTAAAAATTAATGTGTATCAATTCTCCTTATTGCAAAAATATTTATTGAAGAAAATAAATAAAAATCCTCTATGATCCCATTACTGCTAACCACAGTTAAAACTTGGTGTATATTCTACTGGGCTTTAAACACATAAAAAATATGTACATAGAATATACTCTTTTTTTTTTTAGTATATTTGTTTTTGTATATGAACTGTTTTTGAGCTTAGATTTCTACTTCATTCTTATCTATAGAGACTTTTTTTTCCTTAACTTATTTAATTTAGTTATTTAAATTTTGACCAGAATGAGAGAGAGAGAGAGAGAGAGAGAGAGAGAGAGAGAGAATAAGTGATAAAGCAAGCTGCCAGGTCCAAGACTCGAACTACAGTTGGCCACATGGGAGTCTAGTGCCCTTAACCATTACGCCCCCTGCCGGCCCCCTCTGTAGAGACTTTTTAAAAATGGAATGATCCTGGTGAGTGGGGACTCTTGGTGTGAGCTGTCGTGTGTAGGATCCTGGGTGGCTAACGACAGGTGTTTCTGACTGCAAAGATGCCCCACATGCTTGGGCTCCAGGGTCAATGGCAAAGCCTTAACCAATTCTCCACTTTCCACAGAACATCCCTCCTGCCGACCATCACGTGGGGCCAAATGGCTTTAAGAGTCTGGCTCAGGAAGCTGCGAGATTGGCAGACAGGTGAGCACTGCGGACAGCGCCTCCACTTCAGACCATCCTGCAAGGCCAGACTTGAACCAGACACTGGCATGCAGGACCCAAGCTGCACTTTCACTCCCTGCAGGCTCCTTTGCAGCCATCCGCTGCCTCGAAGTCCTTTCACCACTTGGGTTTTAGTGGATGTAGGCGGCCACAGGGCAGGGTTCATTTGGCAGGAGTTGGGGGTGGGGGTGTTCCTACCCCAGATTTCTCTGTGACTCACAGCGTGGCTTTGTGGTATGTCAGATGAGAGTCCTCTGGCCATGTGAAATGAATCAGCTCTTGGAAAAGAACATTCTGCAGCTTACAGGGACTCCTAGGCTCTCACACCAAGCCTGGGAGCAAGTAGCAACCAGTTGTTTGCTGGCTCGGCAGGGCCAGGTCCGCAGGGGGGCTTCCTTCTGGAAACTGGCTCCTGAAGGGCCCCAGTGAAAACAGGCAGCTCCCCTCACCCGGCCCTGACTCTAAATCTATCCTGTTTAAGGGATTTGCTGTGGTATTCACTCAGCAGAAGGGGGCTGACTTTGGTTTTCTAGCAGGAGCTGCCTCCCCAGTGTTTTGTATTGTTTAGTTTCTAAAGAATTATTTAATTAAATTAATTTATTATTTTAAAGTTATCTACAAGGTACATGTGCTTGTCAGAGAGAGAGAGACAAAGAAAGAGAAAGTGAGCAAGCAAGCTGCCAGGTCTGGGATTCGAACCACAGTTGGCCATGTGAGAGTTCAGCGCCTAAAATACCACACTACCTGCCAGCCCTGTTTTGTTTATAAATCACTTTCTAGAGCCAGGAGGGCAAAAGCATCTGGGGGACTTTTATTAACAGGCTTTGTACCCTTAGTGGTGGGGCTGATGATTTAGAGTTCTAGCAAACCTGAGTAGGGGGTTGGATCTTGGATGAAATGAGACCTACGGGGCTCTTCTGCAGAAAACAGCATCCAAGAGCAACATTTTATCACCTGGGCTTGCTCCCTCCTCTCCTGCCCCAACTCCAGGCCTCCATGGATCAAGCTGTGGGTGGAAAAGGTTGCCACACGGCCCATGACATGAAGCTAATTTTCGACCTTCTGCTTCTTTTTCTAAAATTTATTTTTAAAAGAAGTTTTTGCCTTAGAGCTAGTGCACTTACCAGAGAGGGAGAAAGACAGAGACAGTGAGAGAGAAAGTGAGAAATCACCCCCGGGGTAGATGGTCATGCTGCAGTTCCTTCTCCATTCCCCTCCTGGGATCTTGGGCACACACACACACACACACACACACACACACACGCCCAGCATGAGCTTAAAGCCACCATGGTCGGTCATGTGGGAGTCCAGCAATGTAAACACCATGCTGTCTGTTGGCCCCAGACCTTCTGCTTCTTGATAGTTCCCTTATTTCCTCTAATTGGAGTCTGCTCTGTTTGGCTTTTATAAACCAGACTAGTTAGTTCACTTATTCCTCTCCCTTTATTTAAATGCAAGGACCAGGGTCAACAGGCGGTTTGGTGGTTGAGGTGCTGGATTCCCACATGACCAACCATGGTTCAAGTCCCAGGCCAGGTGCTCACCCAAGAGACAGAAAGCAAGAAATCATCTCCCAGGGGGCATGGCCACACCGCAATCCTTCTCCTCCATTCTCCTCTTGGGATTTTGGGCACACATGCACACATGCCCAGTGTGAGTTTTAAGCTGCCAGGTCCAGGACTTGAATCACTGTGGACTACGTGGGAGTCCAGCGATATAGCCATTATGCCATCTGCTGGTCCCAATAAATAAATGTTTTTAAAAATTAAATGAAAGAACTAAAGGAAGTCCTTTGCTATGAAGATTCTAATAAGATTCTAATTCTTTGTTTTGAATCCTTTTAGCCACGTTGAGTCAGCCAGTGATATGGAGCGCCTGGCGAGGGAAACTGAGGACTATTCCAAACAAGCACTATCACTGGCTCGCAAGGCTCTGAGTGAAGGAGGTGGCCCAGCCAGCCTGGACAGCTCCGCGGTGCAAGGACTTATGGGAAAGTATGTTCCAGCGGGTTCTCACGTGAACTATAAACCCAGGTTCTCTCAGGGCATGGTGCAAACCACACTGGAAGGGAACCATGTTTCCTTAGAACATATATATTACTAATAAGAGGAACAAGAGAATGAGAGTATTACTTTGGGGGAAAGTAGAAATCTTTAAGCCTGGACGGGAAAAATAGGTTAATTATTTAAGTCAACTTTCTGTTGTGATTGAGAGATTGCAATACTTGAAGACAGGATCCTCTTCTATGGTGTTTGGAAGGGTATGAATAACTCATCTGATGGCATGAGGGATATAAAAATAATGTATTTATATGATCAAGAATTGGGAAACCTGGATTAAATTTTTCCAAACCAGCCTGATAAGGCTTATGTTTAGATTATGGAGAGAGACACCTAACCTTGTTTGGTTCTTCTAATTATTTCAACTACATACTTTTCTTTCTTCTCTTTTTCTTTTTTTCTTTCTTTTTTTTTTTTGGAGAGATTTTTGCCATAGGGCATGTGCACTTGCCGGAGAGACAGAGAGAGATAGAGAGATAGAAAGCGAGAAATCAACCCCCAGAGTGAGATAGCCATACTGCAGTCCCTTCACCTCCATCCTTTTCTCTGGATTTGGGCATGCATGCACACGCACCACTTGTTTCAAGTCACTGGGTCTGAGACTCGGACTGTGGGTTGACCATGTGGGACTCCAGTGCCATTGCTATGCCACCTGCTGGCCCCTTAACTACATATTTTTCAAACAACAGGATGAATTTTTGCTTTTATACAAAGAATGACCTAACTCCTCTTTTTTGTTTTTTGTCTTTGTTTTGGCTTTTAAATATTACTAATCTCCCCTCCCTGCCTCTCCTCTGCAGATTGGAGAAAACCAAGACCCTGGCACAGCAGTTGGCAAGGGAAGCTACTCAAGCTGACATTGAAGCCGACAGGTCTTATCAGCATAGTCTCCGCCTTCTCGATTCCGTGTCTCAGCTTCAGGGAGCCCCTGCTCTGTCCTTCCAGGTGAGGGCATCTAGTTTTCTTTCTTTTTTTTTTTTGGAGAGATTTTTGCCATAGGGCATGTGCACTTGCCGGAGAGACAGAGAGAGATAGAGAGATAGAAAGCGAGAAATCAACCCCCAGAGTGAGATAGCCATACTGCAGTCCCTTCACCTCCATCCTTTTCTCTGGATTTGGGCATGCATGCACACGCACCACTTGTTTCAAGTCACTGGGTCTGAGACTCGGACTGTGGGTTGACCATGTGGGACTCCAGTGCCATTGCTATGCCACCTGCTGGCCCCTTAACTACATATTTTTCAAACAACAGGATGAATTTTTGCTTTTATACAAAGAATGACCTAACTCCTCTTTTTTGTTTTTTGTCTTTGTTTTGGCTTTTAAATATTACTAATCTCCCCTCCCTGCCTCTCCTCTGCAGATTGGAGAAAACCAAGACCCTGGCACAGCAGTTGGCAAGGGAAGCTACTCAAGCTGACATTGAAGCCGACAGGTCTTATCAGCATAGTCTCCGCCTTCTCGATTCCGTGTCTCAGCTTCAGGGAGCCCCTGCTCTGTCCTTCCAGGTGAGGGCATCTAGCCCGTGTACCTGGTGTGTAGAAGAGGGTCACAAATGCTTTCTTCTCTGGGGTTCCATAATGCTGTTCAACCCTTCAGCTCTCTCTCCACGTTGATCTTTCTTGCTTGAGAGTAGAAAGATATGTACCCTTCCCACGACCTCCTTCCTCATTCTTACACCCCAGCTCTAGTCTCTGGAAAGGCCTTGGCCCATCCTGAACCATCAGTGAATATCTCTTCTGTAACTCTGGGGACTATTGAATCCTGTGGAAACGATTGTGAAGTTTGCTGTTTATACTTTGGTCAGGCGATAGCATATTTTTATGTTGAGCCACTGAGAAGACATTTTTTTTTCCAAAAGTTTTACATCATTTCTACATCAATTCCCTTAAGTAGTCCAAACTTAACAGATTGAGAAGATTTGGATTGCTACTTATAGCAGAAAGCACTCAGTAATTTCCATGGACATATGTAAACTAACAAGTAAAATTAAAAAAAAAGAAAAAAAGGACAGGAGCCAGCAATGGTGTGGTGATTAAGTGTTGAGCACCCACATGACCAACCATCATTCAAGTCCTGGATCCAGTGGCTGGAAAGTCACAGTGAGTGTGTGTGAATGCCCAAAATCCTGAGAGGAGAAGAGGAGAAGGGACTGGGAGGCGGTCATCCCCCAGGGGGGTAATTTCTCACTTCCTCTATCTCTGTCTCTCTGGTGAATGCACATGTCCTATGGCAAAAACCTAAAAAAAAAAAAGAACAGAGGGAAAGCCTGTCTGACACTAGGGGACCTGCTGCCTGACCTCCATCGTGTAATCGGCCTCGTTGCTGTTAGCCTCTGGCCTGAGTGGCCAATCACTATTTTCCTGGCCTCCTGAGCTGTTGCTGCTGTGAAATGCCAAGCCCTGAGAGGCTGGCGTGGTAACTGGTGAGATGGAACGTCAGACTCATTCATGTCTTTGGACTTGCAGGCAGAAGCAAAGAGGATCAGACAAAAAGCTGACTCTCTCTCAAGCCTAGTGGCCAGACGTGTGGACGAGTTCGAGCGTGTGCAGAGCAATCTGGGGAGCTGGGAAGAAGAAACCCGGAAGCTCTTACAGAATGGAAAGAATGGGAGACAGGTATCCTGCTAATTTGTTCTCTTGACAAACATGTATCAAATGCTCGCCATGGGAGTCAACATGGCAGGAGAAGCAGGCAAAAGCTCTCGATGGCCAGGGGCCAACTGCTTGTAGGGGGAGTAAGTGAGACACACAGTCCTTCATGCAATTAGCTGAGTTCTATCTACCGAGTCAGCCCTTGAAACCTAGCAATAGGGCCTAGGCCTCATAAGTCTGATTTTGGTCTAACCGTCTGCTACTTTGGTTTCAGGAAGTATCTAGAGTTGAAAGTTATGGTTTGCACAAATGTTCCTGTCCCGAACAGTGGGCTGGGACTGAGACCATTTCCTGTTGGGATGTGTCATTCACTTCCAGGGTTTGCTGTGTCCTGGGTTGCAGAGGGGTGTGCTCCCTCACCCTGAGGCTCCGCAGACTCATAGCATCCTGTGATGGTGGAGGAACATCTCAGAGTGTTTTTGCTATAGGAATGCACTTCGTCTAATCTTGATTCATCTGCCTACCATAGACATCGGATCAGCTGCTTTCCCGTGCCAACCTTGCTAAAAGCAGAGCCCAGGAAGCATTAAATATGGGCAACACCACTTTTTATGAAGTTGAGAACATCCTAAAGAATCTCAGAGGTGAGTGTTGTATGGTTTGGGCCCTTTGAATATTTTAAAGGTATAGCCATGACTGGTTTGGTTTGAACACTAAAGTATCTTTCTAAGTGATAGGGACATTGGGGTGTTAATAGGTGCTTAATAAGTATCTTTCTAAAGAAAAAAGTCATTAATATTTGATGTAGTGGGGATCCAGCAGATGGCGTAGTAGTTACATTGCTGGACTCCCACATGGTTGACTGTGTTCAAGTCCCAGACCTGGTGGCTTGGAACATGCCAGGTGCATGTGCATGCATGCCCAAGATATCCTAGGAGGAGAATGGAGAAGGGATTGTTATGTGGCCATCTCCCCTGGGGAGTGATTTTTCACTTTCCCTCTCACTGACTGTCTCCTGTTCTCTCCCTGTGGTGAGTGCAAATGCCCTAAGGCAAAAACCTCTACAAATAATAATAATAATAATTGACATAGTAGAAAAAAATGAGCTGATCTTGAGTTCTGATCTCTTCTGAGCTTTGTGGCTGGGCCATGTTAGTTGTGTGGCCATAGAAAAGTCACATAGCCATTCCAGACCCTAATTTCTTCCTGTTTTAAAGGAAAAGACAGAGACAGCATGGTGGTGGGGGGGAAGAGACACAGGAAAGAAAGCTTAACAGACACAAGAAGGCACATAAATAAGACTAATAGGTTCTGGAACAGCATACCCCACAGAGAAAGGAAAAAGGGGAGGCATTGTCAATCATATATGTGTGTGTGTGTGTGTGTATATGCACACGTATATATATATGTGTGTGTGTGTGTATTCATATATATATATACACACATACTAATATTACAAAAATTGGTGATGCACACCATAATGAAATGTTCTTTGTTGAAGATGATGAAAATGGTAATATCCTTGGTTTGATTATCACACACTGCATGCTTTGAAAAACCATATTGTACCCCACAAAGATGTACCATCATGGTAAATAAAATGTTATTAAATTCAAAATATATGTAAAATTAATTTAAAAAGGGTAAAGATTGAAATAAATGACACTGAGGGTCCTGTACAAGAGCCAACATCCTACTACTGGAGAAGTTATTTTCCTTTTCTTTTGTAGCCTGGTTTCTCTGTGGTGATGGTGTAGCTTCGTTAAAACATCTAGACTCCAGGGGCTCGCAGGTGGTTAAGGGTGCTGGGCTCCTACATGGCTGACCATAGTTCAAGTCCCAGACCTGGTGGCTTGCTTTCTTTCTCTTTCTCCCTCTCCTTTGCTGTGTCCCTCTCTGGTCAAATTAAAATAAATAAATAAATAAATAAATAATAAATAAATAAATAAATAAATAAATAAATAAATAAATAAATAAATATTTAAATAAAATAATTATTTAAAAAAACAAAAACAAAAGCATCTACACACCAGAACATCTAGATCCTAGGGGATTTGAGTTTGTGCCTTGTAGAGATTTGATGACAATGTCAAGCTTTTTCACTAAAGAACAAAAAAGAAACAGTCCCAAGCTTGGGATTTTCTAAACAGAAAGTACCTCTCTATTCATTCTTCAAAAATAAAAACAGATTTATTCCATGAGTGAGAAAAAAGAGTAAGAGCGAAGAGACAGCACCCCCAATAGGGCTGTGACACTGCGATCCACCCCTAGCCCCAGCCAGCCAGGGATCATGGGCATATATGTGTCAGGCCTACCCAGGGAGGGCTCAGGCCGTGAACCCATAACCTTCCCATATGGGTCTGCCTCTCAGAAGATTGTGTTGTACCACCGCACCACCATCTGCCCCTCTCTACCCATTCTACCCACAACCCAGCTCTTGTCATGGGCAGCTTAGGGTTTAAAGTTCTGGTTTGAAGTTTCACACTTCAAAGATTCTACCTGGTTCTGATCCACTTTTAAGTTCTTGACACTCTTGCAGTGGGGGGACCTGTGGGCAGGCTGATCGTCTGTTTCTCTAAGCGAAGGGCTAACTATGGCCCCTCCAGTGCTTCTAGTCAGATGCTTTCTCTTGGGTAAGAGTCATTCCAGTCACAGCGACCTACCCTCCAGCCCCCATCAGCAATAACACTCTCGGAAATTTTGTTTTTCCAAACCTCAGCCCTGTCTCTCATGGTCGGTCAGTTTTCATCATCCTGGTAATTTTTTTCTTGTCTGTGTTTCAGAATTTGACCTCCAGGTAGGGGACAGAAAAGCAGAGGCTGAAGAGGCCATGAAGAGACTCTCCTACATCAGCCAGAAGGTTGCAGATGCCAGTGACAAGACCCAGCAAGCAGAGAGAGCCCTGGGCAGCGCTGCCACCAACGCCCAGCGGGCAAAGAGTGCAGCACGCGAGGCCCTGGGCATCACCAACCACATTGAACAGGTAGCCAGAGAGGGGATGCAGGCTGGCTCCAGTGGCACTGAGCACAGGGGCAGTGTGGAAGGGGAGAGAGTGCTGGGCTCATGTTGCCCCAGGACTCAGCCTGTTATGTTCTCTGCCAGCCTCAGATCAAATCACCCCTTCTGTTGGATCAGTTCACAGGGCTGTGATTGACTAGTGCGGGAGCCTCCATTTTCATCTTCCTTTTGGACACCCTGGGAAGAACCATCCAAGATTGTTTTTTTATAGAGACAATGGTGTTATTTTTCCCAGGGCTGTTATAACAAAGTTCCACAAACTGGGTGGCTTAAAACAACAGAGTTATTCTCCCACGGTTCTGGAGGCTAAAAGTCCAAGGTCACAGTGTCAGCTCCCCTGAGATTCAGGGTGGAGTCCTCCTCCTTTGCATCTTCCTAACTCCTGGTGGTGGCTCTCAGTTCTCGCCATCCCTGGGTTTACAGCCCGTGTTGTCACATGGCGGTCTTCCTGGGTGGCTCTCTCTTCTCATAAGGACACCGGTCATATTGGTTGAAGGGCTTGCCCGACTCCCGAATGGTCTGGTGATAGCTAATGACATCTACAATGCCACATCCACATTCTGAGGTGCTGGGCCTGGGATTTCACCCCATCTTTTAGGAGATACAATTCAACCTGGAACACTAACATCGTTTTGATTCCAGATTGAGAGATTCTGATGTTCTGGGTCCTTTCTGTTCTGGGTCCAAAGACCCAAGACCATGCCCTATGTCTCAACTCCACTTTCTCACCTTCCTCTTTCCTTCCCATATGGAGTCGTACTGTGCCGGGTGGGCTGTGGCACTGAGGGACCTGGTTCCTCTTGTTAAAGAGTGTTCAGCACAATGGGGAAGGAGAGAAGCTACATTTATAATGTTAAATTTCTCAGTTCAAGGAATGTTTCTCAGCTGGAAGAGAGCATCTTAGCTCTTAATCAGGCATGACTTCTACAGAGATTATGCAACTCTAGAAAGCCCAGAGGGAACTCTTGGTATGTGGACTAGCTGGCCCCACTTTCAGTCCACTTGGTAACTTGTAAATCAATTGCTGATCAGACCCTTCAGGATAGAGACCAATCTCATGTGCTTCTCTTTATATGGGAATCTTTAATATGTTCATGAACATATGTAATTATGAAAAAACTATGCATATATTTCAAAAATTTTTGTACCATAATAAACTCATATTTTAATTCCATTTTTCAACTTTTTTTTAATATTTTTTTTTTTTTAGTTTTTGCTCAGGGCTCTGGTATCAGTGTATGCTTCCAGAGAGAGACAGTGAGAGGGAAAAAGAGAAATCATCTCCCCTGGGGAGGTGAGGGGGAGAAGGCCACACTGCAATCCCTTCTCCATTCTTCTCCTAGGATTTTGTGCCTGGCATGACTTTCAAGGTGCCAGGTCCAAGACTTGAACTGCAGTTAGCCATGTGGAAGTCCATCACCTTAATGACCATGCCACCTGCTGACCCTCCACAAAATTTTAGAAATGCCCTTGTACAGCTTCTAGAAAAGAGTCACCCTTAATTTGAGGTTTAATAATAGCTTGTGGATAAAGGCATGGATAAACTTTGTCCTTACAAAAACAGTGCAGTAGACTCATTCTCTGAACTCCAAACTCAACTGTCTAAGGATCCTCTAAAGTCATTCAGAAGACCATGGTAGCCAAGGCAAATGACGGAGAATGATGTGAGTTTCCTGCTCTCTGCATTTTCCTCCATGGTCCCTAATTGTGTTCAACATTTGCTGAGCATCAGACCGAAGGAGAAATGGCATCAGTGCGGACACTTGTAGTCTAGAGATATACCCCAAATTTACTTGTTCAAGGCAGAGCTTGGGGAAGGGCGTGTCCCATGTCTGACTCCCTCATTGTTCATTGACTTATCCCGTCAGGGCCTGGCTGCAGCTGTATTTTTTCTGCAGTTGCCTCTGGGATGTTTTTGTGCCTCACCCCTAACTCTTCTTCCGTCCCTGGCTCCTTTCCTTCTCCCAGGAGATCGGGAGTCTGAACTTGGAAGCCAACGTGACAGCAGATGGAGCCTTGGCCATGGAGAAGGGACTGGCCACTCTGAAGAGCGAGATGAGGGATGTGGAGGGGGAGCTGGCAAGGAAGGAGCTGGAATTTGACATGGACGTGGACGCGGTGCAGATGGTGAGTTTCTGACGCTTTCTGCAGGACAACCCTTTCAACCTGCTGGAGTGGAAAATGCCCTTTCATGACAGGCATTTATTTCCGCCTCCTCAGGTGATTACAGAAGCCCAGAGAGTTGATACCAGAGCCAAGAATGCTGGAGTTACGATCCAAGACACACTCACCTCCCTGGACAACATCCTGCACCTGATGGGTATGTGGAACGTCCATAAACCTTCAACCCCATGCTCCAGAGCTTCCCCCTGGAAGCTTCACTATCCTCACCACAATGAGCAGAATCTCAACTCTCCTTAAAATTATCAGGAGGGGCCAGTAGGTGGCGTGGTGGTTAAGGTGCTGGACTCTCACATGTATGACCGTGGTTTGAGTCCCAGACCTGGCGGCTCGAAATACACTAGGCACATGTGCGTGTGGACCCAAAATCCCAAGAAGAGAATGGAGGAGAAAAGATTGTGGCATGACCATACACCCTGGGGGGTGATTTCTCATTTCTCTGTCTCTGTCTCTCTCTCTCTCTCTGATGAGGGCATGCACCCTATAGCAAAAATCTCTCAAAATTAAAAAAAAAAGGAAAAAAAAAGTGTCAGGGCATGTGCTTTGTTTCCAGGCCCAGATACTTTGGACAGGTTACTTTACATTTTCTGGGCTCCGTTTCACCATCTCTAAGATGAGTACATGAACTGCACTTGGATGGGGAGGGTCTGCGGGTCAAAGAGCGGGGTGTGTTTAGCGACCTTCACAGCTGGAGGGAAGACTGGGCAGTTTAAGGGCCCTGCTAAGGAGGGATCACGGCCCTAACCCGGGAAGCCAGTGGACAGTTAAACAGAGGAATGCCACCATCACTGTATGTTTCAGAAAGATCACTGAGGTGGACGAGTGGAGGAGTTTGAAGGGGCTTAGACAGAGGTGAGGTGAGAGCCCTTCAGAGGCTGCTGGGCTAAGTGAGGAGAGAGCTGCAGAGCCTGTTCTAAGGCAGAAGTGGCAAGAGGGAGATATTAAGGAAGATCCTCCCTGCTGTAGAGCCCAGAATCACTTGCTGCTTCTACTGTTCTTTTCATTTGATGTGACTATTTTGGGAAGTCAAGCTATCTGTATGGATAACCTAGAAGAAAAGATTGTAGATTGGGTCAACCCCGTAGCCTCATGGTTAAGGAAGCCAAATCCCACGTGACTGACTGAGGTTCAGTCAGCTTGAAAAATATGGCAGCTTGAAAAATATGGCAGCTTGAAAAACGTGGTGCCACTTGCAGCCCTGGCATCTTGAAAAACATGGTGCCACTTGTGCATGTGTGCCCCAAATCTCAACAGAATAGAGAAACGGAAAAGGAATGGCAGTGTGACCACACTCTATGGGGGTCCTTTCTCTCTTTCTCTCTCCCTCTCTCTGTCTCTTTCTAGCTGGTGCGTATGCCCTCTGGAAATTGAAAAAAAAAAAAAGAAACCAAAGAAAGAAAAGATCATAGAGGGACCAGCAGATAGCGTAATGACTACATCGCTCATAGACCACTCCCACATGGTCTACCACGGTTCGAATCCTGGACCTGCAGCCTAAAACTCACACCGGAAGCCTGTGCATGTGCATCTAAAGGATTCCAAGAGGAGAAGGGATTGCGGTATGGCTATCCCTCCTGGGTGGTGATTTCTTGCTTTCTGTCTCTCTGTTCTCTGGCAAGTGTACACGCCCTATAGCAGAAAGAAGAAAGAAAGAGGAAGGAAGGAAGGGAAAGGAAAGGAAAGGAAAGGAAAGGAAAGGAAAGGAAAGGAAAGGAAAGGAAAGGAAAGGAAAGGAAAGGAAGGGAAAGGAAGGGAAAGGAAGAAAAGATCATAGAACTGCAATGTACTGCTCAACTGTAAGATAAAATAGATTTGATTGGCCAGTGTGACAGGGAGTCAAGTCTTCCCCAGCAAGTGTCACCTAAAAGAAAATGGATTTGAATTCAAATCTGGGCTTTGGTGAAGCGGATATCAAGCCCTTATTTGACCTGCTTTATCCAGCTTGGTCTGCAGCAAATACAGAAGTAGAGATTGAGCCTCGGCTGCCAGCCACATTGTAAAAAGGCTCTTCTTGGTTGGGTAGGTTGTAAAACCTGTTGTTTCTGTGGGCCTCGTCACTACTCCAAGAGGGAGTATTATCTGTCTCGTTACACTAATGAGTCTGCTTCGTGATCTAATGAGCCTAAAAGAGTAAAAGACTCTTTGAGGGTAAAAGAAAAAACCAAAAAAACAAAAAAACTCCCCAGTTGAGATTTCGGCAGCGCTGTGCAGTGTTCTAATAAAGGCAATGAGACTAACAGGGCCTTTAAGGAGAAAATGAGAGTGGGGGCTAGACAGTGGTGCAGTGCTAACACATGCTCAGTGAAGCCAACCCATGTGGACAGGTTAGAGGTCACATCTGGAGACCCTTCTGAACACTCAGGTGCTCTTGTGGCCTTTGAGCAAGGTTGGCTGAAGCTGGGAGCGAACTGTGGTGTGAAGGCCCTGTTGGGAGTGCCTGTCTGTCTGAGTGTGTGTCTATCTTTTCTCACTCCTGGGAGAAAGAAAGTACTTTTTATCTTGGAGAAGTTTTTGCTATAGGGCACATGCACTTGCCAGAAAGACAGAGAGAGACAGAAAGCAAGAAATCACCCCCCGGGGAGGATGTCCACACCGCAATTCTCCATTCTCCTCTCGGAATCTCAGGCACGCATACACACATGCCCGGCGTGAGTTTAAGCCACCAGGTCTGGGACTTGAACTGCAGCTGGCTACGTGGGAGTTCGGCGACATAGCCATTACGCTAACTGCTAGTCCCAAAAGAGAAAATGAAAGAGTGGGGAGAGAAGGAGAGGTGGGAACTATTAACATTTACTGTGTGTCAGGTGGTATCCAGATGTTTCCATGGTGTAATGTCATTTCGGTCAAATGAAAGTCCTGTGAGTGGGTTTTATTTTTTTAGCAATTTTGTTCACAGGGGAGTATCGTAAGACCCAGAGAGGGTAACAGTGCCCCCACAGGCCACACAGCAAATTGCAGAGGCAGATACGGCTGCAGACAGGCCTCTGTGTTCCAGTGTTCCTGGTCCCTTGTAGGAGCTCATGCCAGCTCCTCATGGACAGGATTCTTTTCTTACCAAGCTCACTTAACTTTCTCTGCATGTCATGGAACCCTAACTTCTTGATTGTCCCCTGTCCTCATCTGAAGGACAGATCCACTGGCTCAGCAATCTTGTTATGGTGCTACTTCTACTCGATGTGCTTTCTCAAGTCCGGGGACAGTGACAGATTAGTTACCATAGGTACAATAAGCCCTGCAGTCAGACACTGTCACTGCAGCCCAGACAGACAGCAACTGACCTTGTGTTTGCGAGGACCCAGGGCCTCTCGAAGCTATGTGGACCGAATGGGTCTGGCCAGGTGCCCTCATGTTGACATTAATTTTAGATAGTTTATGGCGAAAATATACCTAAACAAACATGATTGCATTTCATACTAGGAACAAAATGCAGTCTCTAGCCGGATCCCCACTGTGTCCGGCCAGAACGAAGTCTGACCTCATTCACTTCCTAACAGCTGGGACCCATCCCCCAGATCGCAAAGCATACCTTGGCCTCTGTCAACCCTGAAGTGCAGCCAGTTTCTAAAGGTCTTCTAATAGAAAACAGCAAGATACTTCCCCAGGGAAGCATAACTTGGAGCTGAGATTCTGATCCTGGGGGGAGCCGTCAGGCAGACACCTTGGCCAGCGCTCCATCCCCTGTGAGACGCTTTCGTTTTTTCATAGTGTGAACTATTGACCCTGTCATGACGTAGAAATCCATACTTCACGTGGCTCTGCTCTAGAGCTCAGATTCTAGACCCAGGGTGTTCACAGCCCAGTAACTAAGCTAGTGCTCACAGAACTTTTTCTAGATTACTTCTCATTTGGGGCCAGCAGGTGACATGGTGGTTAAAGCCACGTGTCCAACCATGGTTCAAATTCTAGACCTAGCAGCTTAAAAAATCATGTCAAGCCCTTGGGCATGCATGCCCAAAATCCCAAGAGGAGAATCGAGGAGAGATTATGGCATGGCCATCCCCCTGAGGGATGATTTCTCACCTTCCCTCTTTCGGTCTCTCACTGTCTCTCTTCAGCAAGTGCACATACCCTATGGCAAAAATACAGAAAAAGAAAAATCTCATTTGAAATAAGACTTTTCGGGCTGGCAGGTGGTGTGGCGGTTAAGGCACTAGATTCCCACATGGTCAACTGCAGTTCGAGTCCTGAACCTGGTGTCTTGCTTTCTTACTTTCCCTCTCTCTATAGTCAAATTTAAAAAGTAAATAAGTGAATATTTTTTTCGAAAAATAACATAAGACTTTTCAACGCACAACATATAATTTTCTCTGGGTCAGTGGAAATAGATAGTGGTTAAGAGGCCAGAGGGGCACCACGTGTTCAAAGAGATCTAATCCAGGTTAACTCTTTCCATTCCTGAAAACAGACCAGCCTGGCAGTGTGGATGAAGAGGGGCTGGCCTTACTGGAGCAGAACCTTTTCCGTGCCAAGGCCCAGATCAACAGCCAGCTGCGGCCCTTAATGTCAGAGCTGGAAGAGAGGGCACGTCGGCAGAGGGGCCACCTCCTCTCACTGGAGACAAGCATAGATGGAATCCTGGCCGATGTGCGGAACCTGGAGAACATTAGGGACAACTTGCCCCCCGGCTGCTACAACACGCAGGCTCTGGAGCAGCACTGAGGCCGCCATGGGGACTTCTCAACAGAGCTCCTTGGGATTCAGATCTCAGGGCTCAAGAGTCAGCTAGTACGGGAGGGGTGGGGACTCTGGTGCATTTTATGGATGTGCTCAGGTCACTTGGCTGACCCCACCTCTGAGAACATGGCCTGGTAGAAATCTGTCCCAGGGTGATTCTATTTGTTCCTGAGGCTGGACAGTGAGGAAAACAGCATTGGGGATGAGACCGATCAAAGGCCTGGGACCCCAGAGGGGGTCTGGGTGGAAGGACACACCGCACGGGCAGGTGACATGGAGTCCTGGATTATGGTCAGCCAGCTGATTCTTTGAGTGACGTGACCAAAGGAAATATTTTTGACTTGGCCAGGCATAAAAGTCTAATGCCTGAACAGTGAATGAAATGCAGTCATTCCGGCCAGTAAAATGTAGAGCCTCGGACTGTGCACTTGCTGACCAGAGTTCCTCCCGCTCATCACCCAGTGCATGAACCTGCACCCCGCCTCCAAGCTGGGTGGAGTGGGGGGCTGAGGCTGGCCCGTCGGGAGCAATGGTGCCTGCTGGTGCTCCGCCACCTTTGAGTTCTGCGCCTGGGAGTGACGACCTGTCTCTTGATGCCATGGCCATGCAGAGACAGCACTTTTATTAAAGCATTTCCTATCAGCCAAACAAATGCTGGGGAGTTATTTACTTTGGAGTTTCAAGTCGTAGGAGAAGATAGCTTGGGCAATGGAAGAAGTCAAATTCTCTAGATTTACTAGTCCCAATTGGATCCTACTTTCAGACACTGATCATGTGCATCTATGGATTTTTATCGTACATTCTCTGTGTTGTTTACCTGTAGCAGAGACTGTTTCTACCTGCAGGAGAGCTGGGTAGAATCCACCCTTCCATCCCTCCTTCCGGCATGTATTTATTGAGTGCCTACTGGGTATAGGGGCTGATGGAACGGAGCTGACAGGGGCTCTGCCTCCCAGAGCCGACTGCCTAGTGAGGAAGGCAAACATTTAAAAAATAAGCATATAAATCTTGTTCACTACAAGTGGTGTTTATTGCAACCCTTGGTTTGGTTTTCAACCTTGTTTCTCAAAAGAACATATGTTGCAAGACACTCCCGTGGGGCACTGGAGCTTCGGCATCACTGAGATAGTCTGGGTTGTACACACTTCTTTGCATTCCAGCTGTCAGTCTGCCCCTTTCCACCACTGATTGCAACAGACAGTTGAGTCACATAACACCAATGGGAATTGCTGGAAAAACCAGGGCCATGTCCAATTTAGCTCGCAAGACTTTCATGTAGCTTCACTTCTGGATTTCCTTAGCTTTTCATGGATGTGTTTGCAAATAAAAAAGGATTATTATTGCCTGAGGTCAGCTTCTACCAAAGCAATGGAAAGCGAGATGCCACAGAAATGGCAATGGGTCCTGGTTAGCTTTTTTTTTTTTTTTTTTTTTAAGATTTTTGCCATAGTGCTCACTGGAGAGAGACAAAGAGAGAGACAGTGAGAAATCACCCCCGCAAGGAGGATGGCCACACCCCAATGCCTGCCCTTCCATTCTCCTCTCAGGATTTGGGCGCACACACACGTACCCTGTGTGAGTCTCAAGCTGCTGGGTCCAGGGCTCTAACCATTAGTCAGCCATGTGGAAGCGAGCACCTTGACCAGCACTCCGCCTGCTGGCCCCTCTAGTTAGCACCTCGAATTCCTGTTTGCGAGCACTTATTTGGCTCTTCCCAACCATCAGAGCACTTATTTATTTATTTATTTAATTGCCAGAAGGTATGTACACTTCCCAGAGAGAGAGAGAGAGAGAAAACACCCCCAACTCCACCAGTCTGATACGATCCTATTGGGATTTGGGGCACACACGTGCCCAGCATGCTTTTCAAGCCACCAGGGTCAGCATTTGTACCATGGTAGGGCCACACAAGATCTAGCTCCCTTAACCATCAGGTCACTGGACCAGCCCATGAAAACACCTTATGAGGGCACTCATTTAACCATTGCTGTCTTCTAAACATGAAGATTTATTTCTGGAACAATCCAAACTGGGTAGGGGCATAATTAATATTCTTGTCTTTTTTCATCAGCTGTCAAAAAAGGTTAAAATCAATAGTTTGTGGTACGTATCTTATGCTTTTTAATAAATTAATAGTTTTTTAAAGAGAGATTTTTACTATAGGGTGCTTGTGCTCACCAGAGAGACAGAGAGAGACAGAGAGACAGAAAGTGACAAATAACCCCCCAAGGGGGATGGCCACACCACAATCCCTTCTCCTCCATTCTTTCAGGATTTGGGGCACACATACACACACGCCCAGCATGAGTTTTAAGCTGGTGGGTCTGGGACTTGAACCACGGCCAACTATGTGGGAGTCTATTGATGTAACCATTATACCATCCGCTGGTCCCACTTTTTAATAGATTAAAACTTGTTAAATTAATAATCTGGATTGCAGGGACAGCAGGTCGTGTAGTGGTTAAGGCGCTGAACTTCCACATGGCCGACCAAGGTTCAAGTGCCAGATCTGGTGGCTTTCTTTTCACTCCCCCCTGCCCCCTGGTGAGTGCACATGCCATATAGCAAATAAACAAAACAAAATAAATAAATAAATAAATAAATCTTAAAAAATCCTAGATTGATCACATACAAGTGGCCGAAGAAGGGATTCTGCTTGTATGCACGTTGCCCACCCCCACCTCTGATAGATCTGATACTTTACTTTGTCTTCTGTGGATGCGAATTGAATTGATAATCTCATCTCAGCATATTCCATCCCACTTCCCACAAGTTCTTGCTGTGATTAACAACTGGTACCAGACAATTGTGTGTGTATTAGAGTGACTCCCACATCACAAAGACCTAAAAAAAATACGGTAACTCCAAAACAGTAGACTGGTTTGGGGCATCCCATTATAGATGGGGTGGGGAACAGGTTAGCAGTGTGGCCCTTCACTCAGTCATTTCAGGAACCCCACAATTTATAGTATGTGACTTGAGAGGTTGCCTCTGGGCTAAGGGGTGCCTCCATTCTCACTGGGTGGGAAGTGGGAAGAACATGGGGGAGGGAGGCACATGAGTGGTTTTGTGGGCCCAGTTCAGAAGGACTTGCTCACATTCCATGAAGCAAAATCAACATTGTGACCACATCTAACTTGCAAGGAGTCTGGAAGAGGTGGTCCCCTAGTGGAAAGCCATTTCTCAATGGAAATTCTACACTGTGAAGGGGTAGAATGAGGGCCGTCTCATTGGGACAGTGGAAATGTGCTGCTCATGTGAAGTTGGAGCTATATGGAAGACCATGGGTTCAGTTCCCCCATCAGCCCTTACATGCCAGTCTGTGGCTGGGAAGGCTGAGGACAGGGATCATGACGTGAGACTCTGTTGAGCTGCTTCTCTCTTTCACTCTCATAAAGGGAATCAACTTAGAAAGAAAAGAGAAGAGAGAATGTATTATTAGAACGTGGCTATGTATCACAGAATACACACTCTAGGAAACTTGTCAAGGGACCGCTCTGGTTAATAATCACAGAACAGGTACCAGCAGATGGTGTAATGGTTACATTGCTGGACTCCCACGTAGTTGACCATGGTTTGAATCCCGGACCCAGTGGCTTAAAACTCACACTGGGTATGTGTATGACCAAAATCCCAAGAGGAGATGGAGGAGAAGGGACTGTGGCATGGCCATGCCCCCTGGGGGATGATTTCTCGCTTTCTGTCTATCTCCAGCGAGTGCACATGCCCTATAGCAAAAGTCTCTCTAAAAATAACAATAATAAAAAAACCCACAAAACATGCAGTATAAAAGGATTCCCCAATGGGATAGATTGTTCAGAAAGTCCTAAGAATGTCTTCTTTGACAAATGGGAGATGGTATCTAGAGTAGAGATGGGAAATGCGAGAGTGAGTCATGGGACGCCTTCGGTAAAGAAATGATCCCTCATTTCTGAGCAATGACAGATTGTCTCTAAGAGAAGACAAGGGCATGTGGCTTAGAGAGCTCCCCCAGGACCCAGTGTGCTAATGCCAGTCTTGACCTGACCCCTGCTAAGTTCAAAGAGCCTTCCTTCTCATCAGTACTACCCAGTGGCTTAAAACTCATACTGGGTATGTGTATGACCAAAATCCCAAGAGGAGATGCAGGAGAAGGGACTGTGGCATGGCCATGCCCCCTGGGGGATGATTTCTCGCTTTCTGTCTATCTCCAGCGAGTGCACATGCCCTATAGCAAAAGTCTCTCTAAAAATAACAATAATAAAAAAACCCACAAAACATGCAGTATAAAAGGATTCCCCAATGGGATAGATTGTTCAGAAAGTCCTAAGAATGTCTTCTTTGACAAATGGGAGATGGTATCTAGAGTAGAGATGGGAAATGCGAGAGTGAGTCATGGGACGCCTTCGGTAAAGAAATGATCCCTCATTTCTGAGCAATGACAGATTGTCTCTAAGAGAAGACAAGGGCATGTGGCTTAGAGAGCTCCCCCAGGACCCAGTGTGCTAATGCCAGTCTTGACCTGACCCCTGCTAAGTTCAAAGAGCCTTCCTTCTCATCAGTACTTATCATTTATAGTGAAACTTTCCTGGTACTTCTAAGAGTTTTCTGATAACACTGTGCTCTTGGTAGGCTATTACACACATCATTATCTGCTTAGACTCGGGGACTTCTGTTTAGAGAGAGGGATAGAAATAAAACTGCTTGTGGACTATAACTTCTGAACAGATGTGTTTCTGATCTTATCCCAGGATGTGGTTGCTTTTTAGTAATCTTGGGAGGTTAGAGATAAGCATTAGAAGATATTCAATACTGTCCAATGTTTGGAACAAGTCTCAAGGACCAGGACTGTGTTTATCATGTCTTCTTTTAATGTTTTATATGGTCATGGGAATGTTATGGTTTCTTGCTAGGGTTCAGTTTCCCTACTTGGGAAACAGCACAGAATCTTTCTATGCTTTCTTTATATTATTAGGTACATAGAACTTCCTAGAAAATTCCAAGATTTCTTATGGGTCATAAGAGAAGAAATGTGTACATGTATGTTAATACAGACTTAATATATGTATACTTTAGATTAGTATAAGCTAGCAAACTTAGCCAGTGTTTGTCCTCCACTTTAAATAAGCCATCATCCTTATGTACACTTGGGAAAGAGAAGAAAAAAAGCAGTGGTTAGCTTTTAGAACAAATATTGAGTTGTCAGAAAAGTCATGATGCATTTTGGCGTAGAATAACACAGAAAAATATGTCACGACTTTTCCGACAATCCAATAGCAAACACGAACACAAGCAATCAATGACAAGGTGTCATTATGATGTGCCCTAAAACTGACATGGATACTTACAAAGCTGGCTAATCTCAATTTTAAGCAAAAAACAAAAAGTCAGAAAAATTCATTGGAGAGCTTTAAGACCAAAACAGTTTTAAAAAAGATCTTTTTTTTGTTTGTTTTTTAATTTACTAGAGGGCACATGAACTCCAATGGGGAATGGTCATACCACAATCCCTCCTCCATTTCTCTTTTTTGGGATTTTTGAGTGGGCATGCACACACATGCCAGGGCATGTTTCTCAAGCCAGAGGGTCTGGGACTTGAACTGTGCAGTTAGTCATGTGGGATCCAGTCGCCTTAACCACCACACCACCAGCTGCCACCGGCCTCCGCCCGAAAAAAATCTGACTTAATCTATTTAGCTAATGCGTAAATGAGCTGGCCTAACAGGGAACTCTTATTTCCCTTCTGAATCACAACTAATGATTAGCTAATGACAATAACCACTTAGATCTAAACCACTACAGGATGTCTATTATAACTAAGGATGAAATAAGAATAATCACAGCAGGAAGGAGTGATTCACAAATTATTCATTTTGCTTATTGACATTGCAAAAAAAAAAAAAAAGAAGTTGAACAATTTCTGTCTTAGATCTTTCATGTCAAAAAGCTATTCAAGTTTTTAATTTTCAGAAATGTATTTTTATCTCATAAAGGACTCATTTCATTAAGAAACTAAAGTTAATCAACTCTGGACTATGCAGATTAGCCTGGATCTAAGATTTAGCTTTTTTTCATTGAGAAAATTTAGGACAGTTTACAGATTTGCTAATTATTCTTCCGTTTGTAATCCTTGAGTGTGGCAGTGTGCCTTCCACTGTGCTAGGCAGCAAATCTCCTGCTGAGTATGTTTTTACAATTGCTATCTCCTGTCAAATAAGACTAGGAAGAAAAGCAACTTCGCAACTCATGGGTAAGGTTCTAGACCAAGACACAAGACTCTAGTAGCATTATCTTATTTATTAACATAATTGAAACATTTTGCTGATAAAACTTTTGCCTGTGACTCTCCTAGCAACAAAACTCAAAATATTTCACTGCAGAATGATATTGCAACTTGAATGTAGTTATTATGAATGAACTGATTTCTGTAAAGCAAATCTTACTCTTTAAGTGGCAGATTATGTGATCAAAAAGTAATTCAAAGAAAGCTTCCCCCTCCCCATGCCAACCCTCAAGACCATGAGGATGAAGCAGAGCTCTGGGCCCTGGGCCTAGACTGTAGGAGGAGGGAAAGAATCACAACTCTTTCCTCCCCAACCAGGACAGGCTCATAGGACACTCCGAAGTCACACTACGAGGAAACCATTTGGGTCAAGTTTCCTGGGCAGCTGTAAGAAGGTGCCGACTGGATGAATTTGACAGAGTGTACTCATCAGTGTTTCCACATGATCCCTAAGGTGTCCTAATTGTACAAGATATACATCACTTCCTGTTCCCATCTTTCCCATCTTGCCTGTTGGCCTTCCTCGTTAGCCTTGGGAGAGATCCTGAGCTTTTCATAGTCTATTGTGTTAGATTTTTGCATTACTCTTTTGATGAAGGGACTATAACGACATGCTTCTCTCTCTTAGTCCCCTAAAAGTGTGTGTGTATCAGACGTGGGCTATTAAAGTAGAAGTTACTTCTCCCTGTAAGTCTCTGCCTTTTGCTGTGTAGTTTATCAAGTCTTGCTTTCTACTTAATTTGAACAGCAAGTTCTTTTGTTCTTTCTGAGAAGCTGAAGCTCAAGACGAGAGAACATGGGGAAGGTTGGTCAAACTGGCACAGTAAGAACAGTGTCTCTAGAAGCTCTAGCTCTGGGTTTCAGGCACTTCAGTAAGAGACTCTTCTCCCCTGTTCCTATGTACATTCAAGGAAAATGAAAGCAAGAAGGCTCTGGAGTCTACCTGGGTTTGGGGTGTGTGTGACTGAGGTACCTACTAGCAGCCCAGGACCCCCCCCCCCTTCTTACCAGAGGAGACTTGGACATAGAGCATTTTTATCCTGCTTGTTGTATTCATATCAGCCACTTTTAGGAAAATGGGAGGGACTTTTTATTGGTAAGTAGGAAATGAGGCTCTAGACCCCTCTTGAGGTCCACTCTGACTGCCCCCACCCCATGAACTCTGAACCATGCTGGTCATGAGTTGGATTTGCAGGAGGAGCAGGCTCTTTGGTAGGAGGAGGTTGGGACCGGGTCTCCAAAGAGTCCTGGGGTTGGCCTGTGGCTGGACACAGGCCAACGATTCCCTGCCCTGGCCTTTCCCCAGCAGATGAAGAATGGCATGAGACAGAGAATGGACAATTCTATCTCAAAAGAGATTCACTTTCCTTGTACTAAGGGAAGTTGTTTTCCATAGGGCACCTGTGCTCACTGGATAGAAAGGGAAAAGTGAGAAATTATCCCTCGGGAAGATGGCCGTGCTGCAATCCCTTCTCCTTCTCCTTTTGAGATTTTGGGCACATATACATGCGCCTGGTGTGTTTTTCAAGCTGTTGGGCCTGGAACTCAAACTGCTCTTGTGGGGTCCAGCACCTTAACCACCATGCCACCTGCTGGCCTCAAAAAACTATTTTTAACACAATCCTGTGATCCACTAAGATCTGTTCCATTTCAGTCCTAGAAATCTGTTCTTTTATGCCTGCTCTTTTCCTTGGCTAGCTCACGCTCCCTTCCCAACCCAAGTGTGCAGAGCCAGCTCATTCTTTCCATGGACTGTGGACTAAATGGGGTTTGACCAGAGTGTGGCAGCATAACGGAGGGGGCCAAAGAAGCAAAAGACATCTACTCTTTCTCAGGCCACTCATGTGAGACCCTCACAAACTCCAGATCCTTGAAAATGCCATGTGCCCCAGGAAATTCAGCCCCCTGCTCTCCTTTATTTAATTTCCCGGCTTATGGCAAAAGTTCTTCCATCTCTCTCTCTCCAACAATACTGTCCTGAACACTTTCCAGGTCTCTGCAAAGGAATCCTTTCTTGGATTCACAGGGCCACTTTCTGAGATTTCCTCCAAACTGATGAGATCACTTGGTTTCTAAGGAGACCTTGCAAGGCATTCCACACCATCGCATTCTCCTGCTTGACTGGTATTACTAGGCCATGTATGGGAACACCTGGGACAGACATAATTGAAGAGAAAGATGCCAGGTAAAGGCCTAGGGAGAGTACCTGACCTCCATGATGGGGAATTGGAAGGGCAGATACCATGTGGAGTGATGGCCTTGTGGTAAGTTGAACAGGATCTTCTTGTCAGGCTCTATACTTGCTGTGTGACCGTGGGCCAGGAATTTAACCCCATGGATCTCTGCTCCCTTACCTTTTCAAAGGAGAGTGTGGGGCCAACTGAGCTCCAAAATTTTTTTTCAGTTTTTTTATTCCATGACCCTTAAACAAACACCGAGACCCAAGAATAGGAACTATTTTTTCCCTCCTCTGAAGATGATTTCCATTATTCAAGAGGAATAATACCCCTCTGGACACTACTCAGCCATACTCTTCTGTGTGTGGAATCCATTTCCTTTTCCTAGAGACAACTGAAGAAATGTCGCCCATGTGAAAAGTGCAGTAAGAAGTGTTGTTCCTGGTTCTAGGGCCTACTTGGCCAGAGCTGGTACTAAGTTTTGATAAAAAGCATCTTAATATCTAGGGACCACTCTTCAAAGGCAACCAAGAACCCAAGAGCCCAAATTACCCAAGAGTAATTTCCTTTCGGCTTTCCAAACTGGGTGAGCGAAGCCTTAACAATCAGAGTAGAATCTGTCAAAGCTGTCCCCAGGGGTAGAGAGGAAGGGAAGAAATTAGGGAGAAAAGGGGTGAAACAGCTCAGTGACTCCTTGCCCCTCCAGGATCTCTCCTCTGTCAGCCCACTCGCCTGCAGGGTAGATTTCCTCAGATGGTTCTGTGGCTACTGAGTTCTGCAGAAAATGTGACCAACCCCAGAAACAAGGCCAACACACTTCTTTTCAAGGAAAAGAAGTTGACCTTAGGGACTGTCTGTGCTACCTTGGCTGGAGTGGGCGAGAGCCATCAGGGTAACCAAGCGCTTTCTCCTTGCTCATCTGGACTTACATCATGACACAGACATTTCACAGCCAGATGGTGGTGAATGATTCCAATTAGCAAAACTCTCTAGGGTTGAGTAAATTCCTGTCATTCTTCTCCCCCCCCCAAAAAAAGAAATGACTGTGTGATCAGGATTTGGCCTTGTCTGTGTGATTCTTCTCAGAGGCAGAAATGTGCTAAGCATGGCCTCCAAGGCCTCAGGTATCTGAAGGCTCCTTGGAAATGCCAGGGCTGGCAGGGAACTCACACTGTGCCATCAGCCACAGCTGCAGAAGCAAATGTCCAGATGCCACCAGGAAACAAGGATGGCCTGTCTCTGCATGACCACAGGCCCAGAGCATCAGGAAAATTGTCTCCTGGAACTAAGGAGGACTCAAGTTCTCCTGAGAAACACTAACATTCCCAGACTTGTCTCCCAGGTTTTAGAACCTGGAAGTCTCAGTGCTGACCAAAGACTGCTGCTGCTGCATGTGTGTTTGTACGTGTGCGTGTGTGGGTGTGGGTGTGTGGGGTGGGGGGATGTGGGGAGTGGAGGTGGCTCGGCCTTCTCTACTGTGTGTGGCCCTCGTGCACTTGCTGAGAGCTGAGGCTGGCTACGGTGTCCTATCAAAAGGGAAGTAATGCCACAGGGGTGCCTTGAGACTACAGACATAAGGAACCATAGACACTGATTTCATCCAAGTTGTATGAGGAGTGAACAAAACTCAATCAAAAAAATAAAGTAAAGAAAATAGCCCTTTGTAGTAAAGGGCATGCTGAGAAGGCGAGAGCCAGACCCGCCTCCACAGAGCATGCTGGGAGGACGGGCACCAGAGCGCCTCCCCAGAGCATGCTAGGAGGATGGTCACCAGAGCCATCTCCCAGAGCATGCTGGAAGGATGGTCACTAGAACCGTCTCCCCAGAGCATGCTGGGAGGATGGGCACCAGAGCCGCCTCCCCAGAGCATGCTGGGAGACGGACACGAGTACATCTCCAAGGACTACACTTCCCCCAACTCCCACCCCTATTCCCTTTCCCACCCCCAACCCGGAGCCTAGAGGAAAGTTTGTCCAAAGATGACTGCAGAATGGGGAATGCCATGGTTCTCTGCAGGTCCCCCACACTGTGGGGGGTTAAGTCAGCGAGTGGGGAGAACAGTCAAGATGAAGAGATGAAGACACAGGGGGACTGACAGGGACTGGAGTGTGTCGGCGGAGGACGAGGGGAGGTTGGAGCAGAGGGCTGTGCGGCCGCTAGCCAGAGGCGTTGATGTACAGCTGGCTCTTGAGGATGTAGTCAATGACTGGCTGGGACAGGTAATCCACAACATGGCCGTCCCCGTGCTGCAAGGCCAGCCTGTGTGGGGAGAGACGACAGTTAGACATTCATGCCCCAGGTGAGTCAGGGAGACCAGCCTGGCCACTGTCTTTCAAGGAAAGGGCTTGTAAGTCCTTCTCAACACCCTTCACCAGCCTTTGCTCAGGTTGAGTAAATGGTGTTTATTTGAGGAAGAACCCTCGTCCCCCAAATCCTCCCTTGTCCTGGTGACACCATTTCATTCTGGCTCTCTGCTTCCCTGCAGATACCTTGAGTAAATTATTTGAACCCCTCTGTTCTTCAGTTCCTCCTCTGTAAATAAAGGTAATTTAGGGCCAATAACATTAAGATATAAAAAAAGAATGGGACCAGCAGTTAGCATAACAGCTATGTCGCTGGCCTCCCATGTGGTCAACAACGGTTCAAGTCCCGGACCCAGTGGCTTAAACTCACACCAAGCGCATGTGCGTGCGTGCTCGGGATCCCAAGAGGAGAATGTAGGAGAAGGGATTGTGGCGTGGCCATCCCCCCTGGGGCGTGATTTTTTGCTTTCTGTCTCTGTCTCTCTCTGTCTTTCTGGTGAGCACGTGCCCTATAGCAAAAACCTCTCCAGAAAAAGACATCAAAAAGTTTAAATGGATCAATATGCAAGGCACTTAGAATAAAGCCAAGCACACAGTAGGCATTTTAGTGTATTTGCTAATCTTATTTCATCCCTGCATGCTGGTCTCATGAAGAGGAATTTCTGAGGGTAGGGAGGTGGGGGTTTAAGGTTGACCATTTCTCTTTCTTTCTGCAGGAGCTTTCAGCCGTGAGATCGTGGAAGGAGGGCTCCAGATATAAACAGCTCTAGGGACGCACTGTGGTTTCTGCACAGTAGTTCTCCAGCCTAAGTCTGGCTGGTTCCTGTTTTCCCCACATGGTAGTCTTGAGAATGTCAGGCCTGAGGAGGTGCTGGTGATCATTCACACGCTCCTCCAGATCACTACAAGCCAAAAGGCATCTGAGCCCTGTCCCATGAGCTCTCCCTGGAGACTGGCTCAAGGCCTTTCTGTGCAAACTCTGTGTTGACCTTGCAAGCTGATGGCGCAAGTGCCTCTCTGCCCAGTAAAGCTTTCTGAAAAAGTGCCTCCACTTGTGGTTTTCCAGTGCCAATCCCAGCTTTATCAGACTCACCCAGGAAGGGGACTGCTAAGCCCAACCCCCACGAGGCCTCCCTGGGTGGGTGGGTGGGACTGAAGAGGACACAGGTGTGCAGACAGCTGTGACTCCTCACAGTGATGCTGATGTATGGAAACACAGCCTCCTCCCTCCCCCACTGTCCTTTGTCCCTGAGTTTCTGCCTTCACCTCACAGTTGATGCTGCTCTTGCAAGTACGTCCGTCACTGCCTTCAGGGGAAAAGCCCAGCGAGCTTTGGAAAGTCCTGGGCTCACTTGCTTTCTCTCTATCACATGCCATGGATGACAATGCTCTACATCTTTGTATCCTCCCCAGGGCCACCACGGCTGGAAGTTCCTAACTGCTGCGTGGCCTCCTTTTACATGCTGATACCTTTGCAATGTCCCCCACAGCCTTCTTCTCTGCTGGACTCAGACCAAGCTCATCTGCACCCAGAACTGTCACTGACACTTATATGGTCACGGCTTCCCATTTCACACTTCTAGACATCGCTATTCCATATACGAGGGAGTCCTCAAAAGTTCATGGAAATGGGGATCAGGAAAAAACTGTATGGGTTTCAAAATGTTTTGCATCAAAATAAACTCATACTTCCATTCTTTTTCCACCAGTTTTTTGAACTCTCCTTATATCTTATTCCACTGAACATTTTTCTTTTCTTCCTTTGTTTTTTAGAGAGATATTTTTGCTACAGTGCACAGACACTCACCAGAAAAACAGAAAGCAAGAAATCACCCCCCACCCCAGGGAGATGGCTACACTACAATCCCTTCTCCTCCATTCTCCTCTTAGGGTTTTGGGCATACATGTACATGAGCTTGGTGTGAGTTTTAAGCCACCAGGTCAGAAACATGAACCCTGGTTGACTATGTGGGAGCCCAGCAATGTACCCATCACACCATCTATGGATCCCCCACTGACGTTTTTCTATTTAGGGTTTATTGTGGAGACGATCAGCTGATCCCTGGTCCAGTCCCTCCGTCTTCAGCTTAGCAACCCCCTAGATTTTAGCTGGGCATATGCCCACCAAGCAACAAAGTCTATTTCCTAGTTGCCCTCTATCCAGTGCGATAGTGGAGCCAATGTGATGCAACAGGAAGTGATATATGCAACTTTGGGCCACCTTGTTCCAAAACGAAGCTTCTGGCCTGGCCTGTTCTCACTGATTAGGAACATGCACAGAGGCAGCTGTGAATACAGAGATGGATGCCCTATACTGAGGAGAACATAAACTCTATTCCTTCTGCCTGCAGTAGGAGGTAACTAAACATCTAACTTGTTTAAAGCTCTGAATACCAGGGTCTTTTTGTTACAGCAGCTTAGCCTATACTCTTATTAGCACATCGTTCTATAGCACCTCACGTGAAAGAGTCCACAAGTGAAAACATCCTCTCCTCCCCCAAAACAAGCCAAGACTAGGTAATGGACCATTCTCCCTTTTAAAAGTAAATGGTTGGGGACAAATAAGTGAGGTCCAGACAGAAGGCTGAATGACAGGGCAGCAGGCGTCGCCAGAATCCAACAATTGCCTTTGACAGGAAAGTTGTACAAGAACTCGTAAGCTAGTTTGGCCAAAGTCTCCCTGGACATTGGTCAGAGGTACCTGCTCTTGGTTGAACTGACAACAGACATGGGATGGTTGATGTCATCCTTCACCACCATGATGTTGTTCTGGAAACAGAGAAGAGAGATGTTTTCAGTAGTTCACGCTAATTCCTACTTACCCCTCGCTCCTCCGCCCCCCCCGCCCAGGACTCTCAGGCCCCGTCACAGAGACACTCCAGCAGGGAGATGGAGGACTCACTTTGTATTTGCGGAGGATTGAGGAGTGATTCATGATTCGGTCTGTGTCAGCTGCATCCCGAGGCACCACCACAATCCCAAAGTCCCCGACAATCACCTCCATCTGAAGAAGAAAGAGCGTGCTTTGGGGGAAACCATGACTCCAAATTCCCCTCAAATGCCCATGTACAGGGTGGAGCCAGTCTCCATTCCATGGAGAACCTCACGCTCCAGTCCTAACCCTGCCTTCTCAGCTCATCAGTCGGCTCCTTCAAGTAACAATCTGTGTCAGTAGAAGGAGCAACCTGACCCAGCACATAGTAAACACTTAATGAATACCCTTAGACTGAGTAAATAAATGCACTCTCCCACGACCAGGCAAGATCCCTCTAATGCCTAAGGCTCCCGTGAGTTCGTAATGCTATAGAGGACATGAATGACAGGGTTCCTGCCTGGGAAAACCCTCTTAGCGGAGCAGACCCACTGCCTAGCAAGCCCACTTTGGCCTGGGCTGGACGTCACAGAAATGCTCCTCTGGCTCAGCCACCTGAAAGCTGCCAAGGGACCAAGGGCAGCCAAGGGCAGAGAAGTGCTTAAAATGCCTCAGTATGGGCACAGGCAGTGAGAGGAGGAGGGTCACTGGGGTCACTTCTGAGATCAGCCTCTAATAGATGCATGAGAAATGAAACCTTCTTTAAAAAAATGACACTTTTATTTTCTTTTTCTCACTGTAGATCAATACAAGCTTGGAAAATCCAGAGGGGAAAAATCAATTATAACCACACAATCAGGTTAAATATTTTTGGGTGTTTCTATTTTTTTCTCTACAAATAGGTCCACAATTGGATTAAACTGCAAAATATGTAGTTTTCCTTTCCTTTTTTTTTTTGTTTTTTTGTTTTTTGTTTTTTGAAAGGTTTTTGCTATAGGGCACATGTGCTCACCAGAAAGACACAGAGAGACAGAGAGACAGAAAGTGAGAAATCATCCCCCAAGGGACATGGCTATACCACAATCCCTCCTCCTCCATTCTCCTTTCGGGATCTTGGGCATGCACGCACACGTGCCTGGCATGACTTTAAGCCTCTAGGTCCAAGATTTGAACCACAGTCGACTACATGGGAGTCCAGTGACATAGCCATTATGCCAACTGCTGGTCCCTTCCTTTCCTTTTTTTTATATACTTGAAACTTATTTGAAAACATGTTTTAACAATCTCTCTGTGTAAATACACACACACACACACACACACACACATGCATGCACACATATTTTTTTTCCCCTAAAACATCACTGAACTTGCCCAAGAGAGATTAAGAGAGGAAAAAGAGAAAGTACCTCTGATGGGGGATGGCTATGCTACAATGGTTCATTTCTCCGTTTGGAATTTTGGGCACTTAATCATAAGTGCCTGGTGTGTTTCTCAAGCTGCTGGGTCCGGATTTGAACCACACAGTGAGCCATGTGGGACCCAGTGCCTTAACAACTGGGCCATCAGTTGGCCCACAGTCTGTATCTTTCAGCTGCGGTGGCACCATTGTACATGGGAGACCCAAGTTTCCCAACACAATCTGTACAGTCCCGGTGCAGTGGTGTGCCTGCAGTCCTGGCTAACTGGGAGGTGGGAGTAGGAGGATCTCAGTATGCTGAGGCTCTGTCAAAAACACCTCTCTCTCCCCTCTTCTCTGTCCCTCTCATGAACAAAACCTAATAATCTGTATATTTTATTGTTTGTACATACCATGATATGTAAATCCAATCCTATACTGTGAAAAGTATATAGTTATTTCTGTGGGTGGCAAGCAGGTGGAAACCTTGCTGCTTGAGATGTTTTCCTTTTCCAGAACAGGTGACAATGTCCCCTGGGAATCATAGATGAGGTGGGGGAGACTGGATCCCTGGGACAAGACCCCCAAGCTTAGTGGCATCTCTGCAGGAGTTCAGACCCAAGACTGCAGACCCTCTCATTCCTTTGGTCTGCAATTAGGTATGTTTTGATTTTCATGCTGGAGGGTATTTGTGTGTGTGCATGTGTCTGGGGAGTGGAAGGTGCAAGATGCTAGAGTGGGGAGACGTCCTCAGTTCCCTCAGTATCCTCTTTCTAGGGATTCCCCTGCCGATTCCCTTCTTTGCTAGGCCCTGTTGTCCTCTCACCTCTCTGGGTGCTCCTTTCTGCTCTCCTTATTCCTTCTCTCTGAGCTTGAACCACTGAAGTCCCTCACGTCTCAGTCCTTGGACTCTTTTCTATCTTCACTCGCATCCTTAATGATTTCACTCAATTTCATAGTTTTAAAGATACACAAAACACAAGGCCAGCAGGTGGTTGGTGGTTAAGGCACTGGACTCCCATATGGCCAAGCGTGGTTTGAGTTCTGGACCTGGCGGCTTACTTTATTACTTTTCCTTTTTTTCTCTCTCTCTGGTCAAATAAAAAAAATGCCAATAATAATAAATTGAATTAAATAAATAATTCTTTACCAAAAAAAAAAATAGAAAAAAGAAAAGATACACCAAATGCTCTCAAATGAACAATTCTAGCATAAACTTCTCAAAGTTTAGACTCACCTATCAGGTGCCTTCTCACATGTCCCCTTGGGTGGGGCACCACAAACTTATGACCATGAGCCTCTAGATCTGCTAACATAAAGAGAAATCAACCTGCATTCCACAAAGAATCATTCATCCTACAGTATTATTTCAATAAATAGAAACTCGAGAAGAAGATTCCTCATGGCTCCTGCGAACTAGTTATTTCAGGGAACGAGAAAAATGAAGATTTTCTACTGATAATTCAGCCTCCAGCAAACAAGCTACCGTGGTAGGGAGCCCTGCTGGCCTTCTATCTCTGTCTCTGTCTCTCCTTGCTTCTGTCTTCTCATTTTTTTGTAATTTTTCCTTTTTACGATATTTTTAAAGGTAAAGTTTTTCTCTTGCTCTCAGCTCTGCCTTATCGCTTGCTAATAATCCCCTCTGGTCCTCCCACCCAGGCAGGAGAGGTGAGCCTTCAGAAGAAGATTCCTCGTGGCTGAACTAGTCATTTCTCTTTTTTTCTCTTTTCTTTTTGTTTTGTTGTTTCTCTCTCTCTTTTTCATTTCCACTCTTCAATATCCATTTAATGTGTTTCTAGATAGATCTAAGGGCACTGTAGCTAAACATCCAAATACTATTAGGGTTAACATATTCCTCAATATCTACCGAATCTGCTACACCAGTGAACACAATAGAATGGCAAAGAGATTCCAGATCACCTCTTTCTGCTTGCTCCTGAACATTCAAATTGAACATCAAGAATTAGAAAGAAGCACACCATCCATCAGAAGAGAAGAAATCACCACAGGACCACAAGAAATATGGGAAAGCAAGAAAATACCTCTCATCCAAGGGAAAAGAATAACTCCTCTTCATCCACAAGCAGTTCAATGGAAATCATGGAAATGTCTGATAAAGAATTTAGAACATTCATAATGGCGAAGCTAACAGAGATGGAAGAGAAGAAAGACAATGAACTGCTAAAGAGA